GTGTATAACACCTGGATTACAGCAGGCATTAAGAAAAGCAATGCCTGTTACAGTGCTCCTGTAATACTTCACATATTAACTCTTTACCAAAACTGCCAACAATTTTGCATGTCATTTTAAGCTTTAGTGAAAGAGTCACTTTACCATTATGTGATCTACATGTGTATTCTTGGTTATGAGTAGAATGAACATGTTTTTCTTATATGATGTGCAATAACAGTTGGCGTGACATTGTAACAGAGAAACAGATGTAGTATGTATGAGAAACACACAATAAATAAATGTCTCAAACATGTGGGACAACATTCTAAGCTCATTTCAACAGATATTAAAAGACATATGTAGGGAATATCCAGAGCCACGTCAATATGAAGAAAAATGCATTCGTTCTCATGCTTCATTCGCTTGCTAGTCTTGATGCCAAGACAAAGATAATAAACATGTTAAATATGAAACAACACATTGCGAGGACTACAGGGACCCCTGTCCACTGCCAAAGAGAGACTCAGACTGCCGTTTCATTCCTATTATGGCTGACTGTTGTCACCTGTTTTGACTGATTACAGTTCTCACAGGATAGCACACCATTTAGAGGATAGCGCAAAGTGGAGTGACTTTTGTTAGAGTGAAAGCTGAAACTGAACATGTTCTGTGGTGAGTGCGGAGAATGTGTGGTTCTGATACATGTAGCTCTGTGTCCCGGGGCTGCTATCATGCTTAGGTTTTTTGAGCCTGAGACTGATCAACCTGCACTTTGATCCTCTCTTTTTGAGTCCCATCCCTAGTTATGGACAGTGCAGAGATGTTTTTGTCCATGTATAGTCTATGTCTTAATTCTAGTCAGGTTATCTACTAGCAGATCCTCTTTAAAGAAGCCAGAGGCAAATGTGGATGCAGAAACATGCTAGTTTCGTAGCAAACAAGAAAATGTCTAGAATCAAAGGCCCTCTTTACTCCTTTCATTAACATGCATTTTAGCTGATCGGGTCTCGTTTGGTTTTCATTGACTGCATGAAAAGCCAGGTGTAAACACCCCCAGGACGCATTGTGAGTGTTTTACAATTGGATCAAACTCAAACCACATTCAGAGGTGGTCAGAGATGGACCTTGACTGGATTTAACTCATGCAAACACAATGCACTTTTGCTATTCTGTTTACAATTACGTCAGTGGAAATGCTGACTAGCAAGTGAGAGGATAAACAACAAAAACGAGACATGGAGGATACGCAAGGCTGGAGTTAGCCCCAAACCGAGAGCCTTCATGCATACTAGGCCATTGAAAGTGTCTCCAGGCCAAGCTTATCCACTCTTATAGTAACAGAGGAAAAGAGCAAACGTTAAAAAGTATGTACAATCGGATCTCAGCTGGTCAAACTGGGGACGCAAGTGTAAACAGGCTCTGGCAAAATTTATTCACATACAATCTGGACACAAAACACACATTAATGCGTGGTGTAAACAAGCTCAAATTGTGCACAGTCCTAGTACAATATACTACATATGTGACTTTGTTTACACAGACTCCCAGCATGCACAGCAAACTTAACTTCAGTCATATGCTGCAATGGAGGTGCTTATCATTAAGAAATCAGCTAGACAGCAGCACAACTACAGATGAACGCAATATTAAGTAATTATAATCATTATAAACAATATAGGCCCATTTCTCCCATTGAGGAGTGTAATGGGTTTCCCACGCAAGTCTTTCAGATCTTTGTATTCTCCCTTGAGCTATTCAGTTCCACCTACTACACTCTGCAAGAGTGGGCTTATAAAAGAGACCGATTGGATGCACAGCCGGAAAGAAAAGCCACACATCCACCACTGAATTTTTTTTTTAATTGCTTGTTTATTCTACAATTACAAAGAATATGAAGGCATCCACACTGATGAATGCGACTGGGTAAAATCATTATAGGAAATAACAGGCAGGCTAAAACATCAAGCCCACACTAATAAACCACTTGCAGGTTTCCTCAATGAGCCTTGACTGTTTTTCTCTTTTTGTAACCCTGTGATGTCACTGAATGCTCAACAGTGAGAGGTGTGACCAAACACGAAGCAGTAAATACACTGGACCAGGGAATTAATTAAAACCAAGGAATTAGAATTCAAAATACTCAGAAAAGTACAAATTTATCAGTTTATAATTTTACATGAATACAGTGCTGAGTATATGGAACTAGTTGCTCCTTACTTCTGCTGTTAACCCCTTAGTGCCAAGACAAAAATGGCTATTTCTGCCTTTTAATGTATGTAATTGCTTTATGACAGTAGCATTATCACTGTATCAGTATGAGGCCTATAAGAGGCCCTAGGCAAGATTTTGTTTTCGTTGGTGCACTGCCCTCCTCAATACACACAGCATGTTTTGGGTTCAAATCTGGAGACCGAGAGGGCCATTGAAAACTTTGATTTTGTGTTTTAACAACCAATTCTGATGTGTTGTGTGATCAATTTTGATGTGTGTTTGGGGTCATTATCTTACTGGAAGATCCATCCATGGCCAAGTTTTAGCCTGCTGGCAGAGGCAGATAGATTTTGGGCTAAAATCTCCTGCCATTTAGTAGAATTCATCAAGCCATTGCTTTTTCTAAGAGTCCCTGGACCACCAGCAACAAAACAGCCCCAAAGCATCAAAGATCAAATGTATGCAGTCTCTTTTTTGCCAGAAGTGATGTTATTGTGCATAACCACACATAAGGCTTCTTTCATGGAACTCCTCAAAAAGCTTCTGGCCATGGCTGACAGTGGATTTGAAAATTTGATACCCCAAGATGAAACTAAATTGTGCAATTCTGAAACTGTGATCTTTGAGTTCCTCTCTGTCTCGCTTATCATCCTCTTTATTGCCAGTAGGGGCACTGTGCTCATGTATCCTTTTCCTGGCAAATTTTCAACAGTTTCATACTGTATCATCACCCTAATTGTGTTTAATGGATGACTAATTTTTTTATAACTTAAAATTTCCTAACCTGAAAGGCTATACTCGGGCCTATTACATCTCTTCATATATTAAGATGGTGGAGCCCACCTTGAATGCATGATATGAATTGGTTTTATGACTACTGACAACCAACCAATATATCCAATACAAAAACTAATAACCATTCACTAGTTTTGTCACTGCAAAACAATGATATGGAGAACCCACCTCCAACCCCTCCCCTCCCGCCAGCATTGCAGAGTCTCTAGGCAGAGTCTCTAACGCCGACCCAGCCTAGTGTTACTTTGACTTGTGTCAGCATCCCAGTCAAGTTTAGTGAGTTGAATAGTATGTCACCGAAGTCTCTTAAAGGCATAGCAGGCTTGGTATCAAGCTTAAAAGGTGACATTACTTTTAGATGTAAATTTGACATCTTAGTTTTTCTGTCTTGTCAAATTCCATTTTTTTTTTTTTGCATTCAGCCACAAGAGCAATAGTGAGGTCAGGTACTGATGTTGGGTGATTAGCTTTGCTACTCCAACTCATCCCAAAGGTCCTGGATGAAGCTCCATCACTATAGAGAATGCAGTTCCACCGCTCCATAGCCCAAGGCCGGTGGGCTTTACTCCCCCACAAACCAATGCTTGGCATTGGGAATGGTGACCTTAGGCTAATGTGCAGCTGCTCCAGAACATCTCATTCTATTGGCAATGCTTTTCTATGGAGATTTTACAAGCTATATGTGCACAACTGAACTCCTGTGTCCAAATACTTTTGGACATACAGTGCTGTGCAAAGGTCAGAGACCACCTTTCACTGATGTAATTTTCTGTCAAAACAGGCATTAAGTACAAGATTCATTTTTCAGGAAAAAGAGAAAATATAAATGTTAAAGAAAATTACACAAAAGCTTTAATAACTAAATATAACATCAATATAATATGCAGTTTTTTCATTCCATGCTTTGTCTTTAGTACAGCTTCAAGAATGGCTGTTCTTTTCAGGAGACTTTCTTCAGTTTTTTTAAAGAAATCTGCATGGATATTTTTCCACACATCCGAAGTTCAGTCTTAGAAGTTGGTTGCATTTTCAGCTTCTTGTAATCAAGTAATCCCAAACACATTCAGTGAAGTTGAGGTCTGGACACCAATGTGGACAGTCAATCATTCTGAAAATACCAGCAGCTTCTTTGTTTGATTTGCAAATTTCCCTTTTTTTGAATAACGGCTTCTTGACAGTGGCACATCTTTTCAGAGTCAGAGCACTGAGTTGTCTTCTCACAGTGGAAGGATGGAAAGGAACACCTGCAGACTTTTTCAGATCTGAAGCAAAAGTGGAGCTTGACTGTCTCCTCTCTCTCAAAGATGAAAGCTTTAAGTGCTGTTTATCTGATGGGGACAGTTTTGGTGGTCTACTAACTCTTGCATAGTTGTTAGGAGACCCAATATCTCTGTATCCTTTAATTTTTTTTTTTAAAACTCTAGTTTTAGAAACTCCTATTTTTCATTTATTTTTTTTTACGTTACTCTTCCTTACGCAAATGGATTACCTAATATCTAATCTCCTCAGAAATATCTCCTGAAAATGAATAACTTGTACCTAATGCCTGTTTTGACTGGAAATAAATAAATGAAAGGTAGACGTTTATGTGCACTACTGTTTCGTCATTTTTACCATAAACTTCCATTACACTGTGGGTGGGCAGCATCCAGACCTCCTTGAGTAGAAATGAGACTCACTTGGCCTTGTATGGCGCTAAGTACCTTCATTCATCAAATCCAAGAGAACTGAAACTTTGATTTATGAAATATTTAAGGTTAAATCCAAGCTTGAGGTCATGAAATAAGAATTTGAGAGATGAGAATCAGTTTTCTGTCCTGGCTGGTAAAAAGCTAATAGGCCATACTTGTTGGACATCAACAACAAAAGCAAGGCAAAGTAAAAACAGCAGGCCACCTTCAAAATACAGATAAGACAAACAGCCTAAGTGGTTTAATGAGTGTCATTGGCATCACCAGGTAAGAAGTTCTTTGCAGTTCTTATTTGAAGTTCTTATTTAAAAGGACACTTACCGGTTTTCTCTTTGATTTCACAGAGCACGCTGAACAGAGCTGGCTTCATTCTGTGACAGTTCAGGCCATGTTTTCTTTAGATGAAAAGAAAAAGAAAAGGAAAATTGGTTAGGCCAACTTAAAGACTGGAATATCACTTAACAGACTTCACAATGAAACCATTTTAATAATAAACATTCACAGTTAAAAGATCCTAAGTACACTTTTTGCCACGAGATAGTCAATCCATTATATTACATTACATTACATTCCATACATGACAGAACTTTATTGGTTTGGTTTATTATAACTAAAGCCCTGTATCAAAAGGTACCAATAGTGCTACCCTATGCAAAACAGTGCTCAGCTTAATGTGGAATTTTTACAGATATCTGCATAATTTAACCAGTATGATGTGAAAAAAGTCATTCAAAATGTGCTGTTCTAGACAAACTTTCCAAGAAAGAATTGTTCACAGTGGTGGTGATAGGAACCAGATCAAAGAGTTTAATGCCTCTAAAAGCTATTTCACCCAGTTTTGAGATCCGGAGAGGTACATCCAAGGCATTTTAAGGCAAAACAGTACCCAAAGAAAATAAATTTACCACTATTTTACCATCATCAACATTACATATAAGAACTTGTGTAAGCTAAATGGTCATTTTGGATAGTAAATAAAAAAGCTATATTTGTGCTGTAGATATTGTGACCCCTGGTTCCTCTCACCACCATTGTAAAGAAATCCATGTTGGCATGTTTCTCTACAGTGAAGTATTTCACATCAAACCACTCCGAATGAATTTATTTACATCACAACCACTGAATTATGCAGAAATTTTGAAAAAACAGTGGCATTCCCGTTTAATGAGACATGCAGCGCAGTGGTGCTCCAAATATTTTATCTTTCTAGGGCTGAAAGGAGATTGTATTACTGTTAGACCACAACAGAGAGCAATGCAAGCGTTAGTGCAGGAAGATACATCGTTTACAACAGTATATCATGACACTGACAAGCTGGGACATTGCTGTGTACTTTTAGTGATATTTTTAGCCATTTCATATATAATGAGTGTTACATCCATAACACCATCCATGTTTCTGTTGCCAAGATCGTTTTTAACTTTTTAATTTTCTTTTATGTGCTTTACTCATGAAATTCAGACATTTTCTGCATGAATAAATCATTAAAATGTAAACCTTTCTAGAAGTTCTAACATGAAATACTATGTTGCAGAGAAAGAGAAAGAGTCAGAATTGTTCACAGTGGTGGTGATAGGAACCAGACATCTGAAACTTTTAATGCTTCTTAAATCTCCCTCATAGAAAGTTATTACATGAAATGGTTACGAATGCGTTGCCTGATGTCTGAGACATTGTTTTACAGTAGTTTTGAGATGAGATTTTGGCCTAAACTGTATTTTTTAAATATATAGATGATGTAGAGGTACATGCAGGTCATTGTAAAGCAAGATGTAACATAAGATGTTATGTGTTCACAACTTTTCAAAGGTGTGTCTGTTAGTCAAGTACTGACCAGAGTCAACAGTTCTACTTAGAAGCATGTGTTCTATATAAAACTGTTTGCATGCTTAAATGGTTCTTTGCATGGAGACATGGAATTTACACAAACCCCTTTTGAAAATGGTTCTATGTAGCACCAACAAGGGTTTTACTGCTGCTCTGATGTCAAGCTTGTAACAAGAGCAGAATCCTATTTATGTGCTATATAGAACCATTTTCAAAAAGGTTCTATATCGAACCACACAGAACACATTCTCAATCAATCTGAAGAACGATTTCACCATGCAAAGAACCATTTAAACATGCAAATTCATGGTTCTAAATCGAACCATTGCCTTTATTAAAGAACGCTTGAAAAAACATCTTTTTAAGTGTGTAGTGTCATGATTATTTTGGTTTTAATAAAATGAAATGTTCAGTCATTCATTTTAATAAAATAAACATTAAGGCATAGGGTCATTCAAAACATTAGGCAGTCAGTTAAAATGGGATCTGTTGAATAGCCTTCATTTTTGGTAAAATATAACCTTTTTGCTGAGAGTATCCATTAAAACCTGATGCTAATGCTTTCTAATGGGAACTGGCTTAATGGTTATACTTAAAGACCTCTAGTATCCCATTAGGAAGCCATCAAATACACAGTCCAAGAACACCTGTTAAGCCATTAGAACCCTTTAAACTGTGATATCAACCGATAAGAAAAACACAGAATACCATTAGTGGCTATTGTTCACCAACAGCAACCAACTGAAACTTTTAATTGTTTCTATGATTTTTTTTAGCGGGGTTATTAATGCTAATTTAGGCTAAACATCATCGAAAACCGCGATACTGGAATATATTTGGAAAATATCGTGATCCAGAACTGCCTCAGTATCGCCCAGCTCCAGCTATAGGGTGAATGGAGATGTATAAACTAACTTCGCTTGCGCTTCGTCCAGGCTTTGGTCCGTGATAGCCATTATTTGGTGGAGGATGTCTCCGATGTCCTGCTTTCTTCCGTCGTCCTCCGAGCCCTGGTGGTCGAGCGAAGGCGCTAAAGCCATGCCCCCGTGCACCGTGCGGCTCAGGGTCACGCCGCCGAGGGACTGCATGATGTGGGTCTGTTCGTCCATGCTGTGCCGCAACGCAATCAATGCGCTCTTCTGATGCACAGACGGCGTTTCAAACGGGCAGCGCGTGCATGTGCGTACAATAGCTGTCCGGACAGACGCTGACCAGTAGTAGGATTAGAATGGGGAAACAAACAACAGAAAACAAGAGACGCGTCCAATTCGCAGACTGGCTACTGCAACCTCCTCTTCTGTCCACTGACTTGTTTTTCTAAGGAGTTCCCGCTTCAGCTTTACTGCGCGTGATCCTCCTCAAACAGGTCCCTCTCCAAAACTTCATCCAAGAAATCCGCTCTGAGACCCTCCAGAGAGGCGAGCAGCGTCCGGACAGAGACGGATCAGCTCAGACTGAGAGCGAGGCTGCATCAGAGCGCCGAGTCTCAGCTGAAGTACCCGAGAGAAGAAGGAGGAGGAGAAACAGACTCTTCAGCTTCTCTCACACTCCGAGCTCCGCGGACGCGCCTGATGACTGACGCTGACAGGATCTGAGAGGTGCGCGCGTCGGGTGGCGGTGGTCGTGATTCTCGCGCGAGCCGTGTGTTGCACTGCCTCATTGGGCTGGCAGTTAGACGTAAAGGCTCCGCCCTCTCGTGGCTGTAGCATGTTAGCTATTCTCACACTTAAAAAGAGGTTCTTTAGTAAAAAGTTCTTTGTAGACCCATTTCATGCTTAAATGGTACTTCAGATTAATGGAGATGTTGTGTATGGTTCTATATAGAACCTCTTTGAAAATGGTTCCACACAGCACCAAAATGTTTCTGCTATTGTTATGAAGCCAAGCTTGTACAAAAAGGTGAATCTTTAGAGGGGTATGCTTCTATTTAAAACCACAAGTTGTACATAGGACCATTTCATACTTGAATGGTTCTTTAGTGATGGAGAATGTATTGTATATGGTTCTATATAGAACCTTTTCAAAAATGGTTCTATCTAGCACCAAAAAGGGTTCTGCTAATGTTATGATGCCAAGCTTGTACACTCTTTAAAAAGTGGTTCTTTGGTAAAGGGAGTGGTTTATTTAGAACCCTGAGTTCTATATTGAACCATTTCATGCTTAAATGGTTCTTCAGATTGATGAAGGTGTTGTGTATGATTCTAATTAGGACCTTTTCGAAGATGGTTCTGTATAGCACCAAAAAGGGTTCTGCTATTGCTGCAATGCCAAGCTTGTACATTCTTGTAAACAAAATGATGGTTCTTCAAGGGTTCTAAATAGAAGCATTTCATACTTAAATGGTTCTTTGCATGGTAAAATGGTTCCTGATGGAAAACTGGAAAATTGGTTCTTTATAGCACTTCTATTTTTATGATATCAAGCCTTTAACAATAGCAGAACCCTTTTTTTTGTTCGAAAAAGTTTAAAATAGAACTATATACAACACATTCTCGTCAGTCTGAAGAACCATTCCACCATGCAGAGAATTATTTAAAGATGAAATAATTCTTCTACATAGAACTTAACATACTCTACTCACCAACAGGAGAGCTAATAGAGTGTAATGATACACTCATAATGGTGATAATGAACATTGATCATGTCATCTAAAGAAAACCACAAAACCACACTCCTAAAGTAAGAGTCATTCTGTTCCAAGTGCCTTAAAGGGGAGTTCCATCAATTATTCAAAATCTCTGGATAATTAAATTGTTAAGATTAAAAAAGCCGTTCAGAGTGGTTTGATTTGAAGTGCTCCATTCTAGAGTCAGATTTGTTTACAGTGGTGGTAATAGGAACCAGATGCCTGAACAGTTTAACCCCTCTAAAAGCTCCCTCACAAAAAGTTATTACATTATATGGTTACAGATATGCTGCCTGATGTCATACATTGTTTTATGAAAGTTTTGCGCTATGGATTTGGCCTAAAATGTCTATTTTTATAAGCACTTTTTTTGGCAGAGGAGTGCATGTATGGCACTGTGAGGCAAAAGCCCCTAAAGAAAGCTTATTTTTCCAGATTTACCACAATGTTTTCATTAAGCAATAGAATAGTGGGAGTGTGTTATCGCGTGAACATGGCATGTAGTGTTTTAATGTTAACAATTCCTTCCGCCAAATTATAGTTCTTTAACAAGCAGCTTGTTGCTAAGTCAAAGTAAAAAACTCTGCTCACTCGCTGCACAGTATGCTGTAAGCCTCGCCTCTTGAAGTACGGACTGAGCCATAAAACTGCCGCAATATCAAGTTTAGCTCAGTTTTGTCAATTTTTGCTTCATCAGTATTAATGTTGTTTTGTTCCAGTCAGTCTGTAAAGCATTGAACAGCCCATTTTGTTTTGGGGCATGGTATTAGTTCCATTTCTGGCAAATTCCAGGTTGTTTAGGTGTTCTTCTGTATTCAGTCGTATTGACAGTTTGGGAATTCAGTGTAGTCTCATCTTCAGAGTCTGACCAAATCAGTCCACAACATTTGATGTTCTGTATAAGAAACAAAATCTACTAATAAGCTTTTTTAAACATATTAATTAGTTTATCATTTTACTGCCAGTTAAAAAGGTATGCTCATAAACAGTGGCATGTCAAAGTTTGAGTGCCACTGGCCAAATGGCATAATACTGATTTTCTAAGAGGAAATAATTTAACACACTTCTGCACATTTTGATGCACAATTACTGTTTATTTACTGAACTTTACTGAAAAAACTGTAAATAAAACATGGTCTGTGCTAAAGTTATGGCACCTTTTTATAAAATATTAAACTTAGCAAATAAGTAGAAGCTGGGCATTAAAATTTGACTTATTGACTTATTTTCATTCCGAGCACAAAACATGTAATTCAACCAAGGGATATTTCGGAAAGCAGGATTTCTCAGTTAGCCAGAGGACTTACACCCAAAAATGAGGTTGTCCATCAGCTCTCTTCCTATTGGACAGACTTATCTTTGGGATTGAAGGAGAATTCCACCCATCTTTCAAAATTTCTAAGTAATTCAGTCATTGACAGGTAAACAAAGTCATTCAGAGTGGTTTGACTGAAATGCTCCATTCTAGAGAAATGATCCTCTTTAACCAGACAAAAAAAAACAAACAAAAAAAAACCAATACATTTCCAGAATGGAGATGGATTTGATATGAGATGATTCATTGATAGTTCATAATTTACAGTGATTGTGACAGAAACCAGTGGTTGTGATAGCTATAATGCAATTTCAAAATAGTCATTTTATTTATTAGCCAGTATGACCATATGTCTTCAGAGTTTTTATATGTGATGTTGATAATGGTAAAATAGTGGTAAATCTAAAGAAAATAATTCTTTTGGTACTCTTTTGCCTTGCAACACCCTATAAGTATCTCTCAAACATAAATGCATTTAAAAGAATACATGTGAGGCCTAAAGCCTATATCTTAAAACTATTGTAAAACAATATCTCAGGAATCAGGCAGCATATCAATAAACATTTCATGCAATAACTCGCTGTGAAGTAGACATTAATGCTTCAGACCTCTGGCTTACGTGAATGTCTTTATTGTACATTTAACCATTTAATTGTGCTGAAATTTAGATAGAACTGCTGCAATGTCGCTCCCCATGATTTCAAACAGGCCTTAAACATATCTAAGATTAGTAAATGAGATTAAGATGAGATTTCTTTTAAAATATTTCTTTCCTTTTGAAATTAAACGAGCATGAGCTCACGGTGGTAAATTCTTCACTCATTCTACAGCATGGACAGAATATGATATGGAAAGTAACAGTGAACAGCTCTTGAGCATGTTTTAAATTTGTTATGTTCATAAACTCAAACCAATATCCATTGGCCACACTACTACTAACTTTTTTCCTCTTTTTTTCCTTTATTTTATTGTTAGTCATTCAATTCACAGTTCATAGTAGTGCAGTGTGATGTATTACAGGCAGTGATGAAGTGGCCATAAACCTGATCCACCCAAGTGAAGAAACAATAAGTGAAAAAAATAAGGGAAGAAATGAGTGTGGGAAAAATTATAATAATAATACTACAAGACAGTGAACAGATAGGACATATAGACACACAGATAGCAGACAAACTAAACAAATGAGCATACTAGTACATTTTACAATACCAGATAAGGTTTCAGTAAATAGTGAGTTAATATACCTTCAATGGAGCACCCCATTGCAGTTATGGGGTGATAAAAAGACTGACACATTCAGATAAGCTTCAAGTGCCCAAGTAGGATATACTGGTGTATTCAGATGGTCCTCATCAACCAGTCAGACAATACCCTGGTTAGATAGTCATTGGTAAATAACTGATAAATTAAGCAATAAGGCAAGCAATAAGTATGGACCAGTGCCAGTTTGGTCTACTGTGTTCACAAGAATGCACTGATGATAATATGACAACGAAACTTCGGGAACTTGGAACTTTCCTGAGTTTACTGCTTGCATTTACGACTGTCAGCCATCTGAATGTAACTTCCTTGTGCTGAAGTCAAAATTTTACAGGTTTACAAGTATCGTCAGAATGCGCTATGAGGGCAGGTTCATTACTGGCAGCATATGAGCTACCAGTGTGTGCACTGACCCAGTCGTAAGTTACACCACATGTACAGCTCGGAGAGAGATGAAGATGATTATTAGGTATGTTTAGAGTATCCTTCCTTAACATAAGTGTACAGTCGTATGCTAAAGTTTGAACACCCCTAGTTAATTCACATGTTTGTTGATTCCCTAACTTTAGCCCTTTTTAAACAAACATTAGTGCACAATTTCTATTTATTTGCTTTTTCTGTCCATTTGCTTTTGTGGAAACAAAACTTTAAATATGCCATAACTTTTGCACAGGCTGCATTTTTTACATGTTAAATTCAGCAAATAAACAGTAAACGTCCATTATAATGTGTAGAAGTGTTCTTTGTAGAGAATGCGTATTTTCACTGTATGTCTATTTTCACTTCAAATCAACAAAACGTACTTTTACCAGGCGTGCCCAAACTTTTGCATATGACTTTACACCCAGAATCATCAAATAGCAGCCTGTGTTCTCTGGCCAAAACTTTTTTTCAGTTCTATTAAAATAACATGGTAATGTAATTGAATTCAGAACCATTAGCCAACTGTGTTTGCATACAGAGGAATAAGACCTCCGCATTTAACCCATCCGTGCAGTGAAACACCCACATACATGCACACTAATGAACACACACACTAGGGGGCATTGAGCACACTTGCCCGGAGCGGTGGGCAACACTAACCATGGCGCCTGGGGAGCAGTTGGGTCTTAGGTGCCTTGCTCAAGGGCACTTCAGTCACATACTGTCGGCCAAGAGGATCGAGCCGCCGACCTTCCGGTCACAAAGCTGGTACCCTAACCTCCAGCCCATTCTAGCATCAACTAGGAATGTGCATTCTACATCATTCTGAAATTTGAGTATCCCTAAGAGTTACCAGTGGTGGACAGTAATGAACTAAATGTAATTCGTTACTGTACTTAAGTAGTTTTTTGTGTATCTGTACTTTACTGAAGAATTTCCATTTTGGGCGACTTTTTACTTTCACTCCACTACATTTCAAAGTCAAATATCTTACTTTTTACTCCACTACATTATGTTTAAAGCAAGTTTTTATTAAACTTAAACTTGTAACTAAGTTGCAAATAAATCTTAAACTGAAACTTTGCTTGTTCACAACAGGTTTGGTTCTACCTAATGGAAATTGTTTGCCTTCAGTGTTTTGTTCTTATGATAATTTTAATAGACATCAGTGTCAGACTAATTAATGACATTCTATTAAAAAATTGGTTTACCAAGAGTGACACTGGAGTATTTTCACCTAAAATGAGATTCTTGTTACAAAAGTGGTAATAGGACATAGTCATAATTAATCTTTTAGTACTTTTACTTTCAATACTTAAGTACATTTAAAGGGAAATACTTTTGTACTTTTACTCAAGTGGAGGTGTAAAGGAAGGACTTCTACTTTTACTGGAGTAATATTTTACCATGGGTATCTCTACTTTAACTTAAGTGCATGATTTGTGTACTTACGTCCACCACTGGGAGTTACATAACACATATTTGGTTAACTAAAAAAAGCTATTTGGCTGAACTTAACTCCAGGCTGTAGGCTTAATATTTTAGATGAAATACTGGAGGCAGGAGGCTCATAAATCAGTAACACAAAAATGTAGCATCACAAAGAAGAATACATTTGAAACATGAGGGAAGTTGGTAGGCTTTTGTGTTGGAGATAACACTACATGTACATGACTCGTCGCCTTCTTCACGCAGTGTTTTCTCTTCAGGGAATAATGTGCCTTGTTAGTTTGTAAGAGAAGTATATATTCACTGTTTCCAGACTTAGCTAACATCAGCTTGAGCAGCTGTTAGAGAAATAGCTAACTTATGAGCCATAGGTGGTCCGTGTGGCACAAAGAGTATATACTCTGTGAGAATTTTGCCAGAAGTCACAACCCCTGATGCATATGATGTTTATTTTGGAAAAAGACTCTGATAGACCCAGGCTTGTTCAGCTAAAAAGTGAGAAAGTAGCAAATCCACAATATATCCCAGAGACATAAATGCAGCTCTGCTCTACCATCAGCAAACCTGAGTGGCATGAATGATAGACAGCAGCCTAAAAGTTCAGGTAAGTGCAAAAGCAGTAAGTATGCAGTATGTGACAAATGTAAGTTTTACCAGTGCAGTAAAGATACCTGGATGACATATTACTCTTAGCAGATGTTCTAGTATGCAGCCAGAGCTACCTTCATGACATTCTGCTTCCAATAATGCAGTGTGGTCATTTCAGGAGGATCTAACCATGAACATAACCACCTAGTTGTCATGTGACCCTTCGGTATATCATGGTAATTGTGCAATACTGGAAACTATACAATATACTAGTGTGGGGACTAGCATGCAGTATACTGGTGCAGTATGCTGTATACACTGCATATTGTATATTCCTTTGTCACACACTGCATACTTGCCACATATTGCATGCTTTGGCAGAATACTTGTATAGTATGCTATGTCAAACACAATCATTGCAGGAAGGAGAAGGCCCTTAACCAGTACTCTGACTACGGTAATAGCAGATAGTTGAGCACCCTGCTGAAAAAACAACATAAACCAGGATACTTTCCTTGCTGGTCTAAGCTCGTTTATACTGCTTTATGCTGGTGTAGCTGGTCACCCAGTGTGGTCATGCTGGTTGACCAGCATATCAATATCTAAAACACAACTTAGGCTATTTTTTCTGATGACCAGCATGTTAGTTTCCATTGCTGCTCATCAGCATCTAAACCACAGCATATGCCAGTTTTGCTGGTCTACGCTGTTTTTTTTTTCTAGAAAGGCAGTGATGGGAAAAATGAAGTGGATGTTTAGGCCCCTTAGTGGTTTGAGCCCCTGAGCATGCATCCTTAAAACCTGTAGGATGATCCTACCTTGTCAAAATGTCCTAGAACACATTTATAGGTGGATCTCTATGTAAAACTAAGTAGAATATTTTGACAGCCCAAAACACCTTATCAGAACATGCTATCAGCCTATATTCATGATATTTTGAAAGCCTAAATCACTTTATCAAAAAATGCTTCCAGCATAAACTATAGGTAGCATCTTTTGATAGCCTGAATGACCTTATCAGAAAATGCTACCTGCATTAAAACTGTTGGTGGGAGATTTAAATATCCTAAATTAACTTAGCAAAAATGCTACCAGCATTAATACTATACATAGGAGACTTTGATAGTCTAGTCAGTTCATCAAGGGTAAATAGTAATATTAAGCTAAGTCTGTGTAATACATCTGAAGTAAGTCAGAATTAACATCATAAACAATAAAACTTTACTATAATAATGATATGCACATGCACGGTAGAACTGATTAATGAGTAGGACGTATTGTTAGACTAGGCCTGTCAGTCAACAGCAGTAACTGTAAGCTAGTAATAAGTTATGTGCTCTACTACACCACATATCTTGAGCTTTTCTGTGCAAAATACATTGTAAGATGAATATTTGGAATACAGATCCTTCTTCATGAAAAAAGAAACCTCACGTCATCTCAAAAAGTCTAATATATTCACTAGTCACGTTTTTGTCTTAGGTGGGACTTTTGAGAGCACACACAAGACACATCAGCTCAGAGCTATGGCACCACCTGCTGGCCAAAACGGCCACTGGGTTCTCAGCTTTTCCCACCTCAAGGCCCACCTATTTATGACTAGAAAGCATGAAGAACCATAAGGAGACAAAACTCCACTTTTTCTGTTAAAAACATCTGTTTAGGCAATCTAGTCAATCTCTGTATTAGAAAGCTAATGGCTAGTTATTGGGCAATTACACTAGAGTGACCAGACATCCCTGTTTTTTAGGGACAGTCCTCGGTTTTGGTGGACTGTCCCTGGAAATGCCCCTGTTTTTAAGTGTGCATTAACACACACCGGTCCCAAGAAAGACCTGCAGCAGAGCAGATGGACAGACGTCTCGGGTTGCGCTTCTTTTGACCAACACTAAAGAAAAAAGTGCAGCTCCCATCTTTTATCCTCCTCGATAAATGGCATTGTGAGAGAACATGTGTGTAATTTTGGCTCAAAAGATGTGTTATATGTTCCAGTTTTTGACCAAAAACAAGTTCAATCAATCTTATCAGCTTTTACTCACATACTGTTTATGTTTCTGTGAATTAAATTATTGTTGTGTGTTTTTTAGAATGTTTTACGCTTGTTGTGTTAAGGTGAAATGCTAATTATAAAGTAAGAGTATGGATGCTAATGGTAGTTGTTCACAGAGCATTCCCTCATTTTTTAAACTTAGTATGACAAGATTAAACCCAATGAAAACAACAGTTTGATGATATGTGCTTGTTTTTAGAGCACATTTGGAACTTTAATTCCCAATTTGAACTGCAGAGAGACAGAATTAGTATAGTGAAGTTTGTTTATTCCTTCTGTCTGCTCTTTATGCAGGTATGTTGAGATATACTGTTAAATGTATACGAATTTCATACTGGTAAATAGGGAGCGTGTATGTTGTCACATAAGCAGAGAGTAAAACAGGGGAGGCCAAGGTCTACTGTGAGAAGATGTGTCACACACAAGGGGTGTTCCGCACACTGGGCAGGGTTATTGTCACAAACATAGTATTTTGTTTGATATTTTCAAAAAACAAACAAACAAACAAAAGAAGAAAAGTGGAAAAAAGTAAAACAGAGACGTTTCCTCAATAATGACATCTTTAAAGTTCTCTGCACATTTCCTCTCTCTCAAATCGGTCTCTTCCGGAAGCCCAGGCCAGGCACCTCCCCTGGTTTCAGTTTGGTTATCTGGGCTTACAGCTAGAGGTGAGGCTAGATTTGGTCAAGGATCCAGCTGTTTGTTTTCTTAGCTGTCCAAACTACTCTTTTCTCTTCTGGTCTTCACCAGCACCAAGGCACAACACTCTTAAAAAAGATTACTCAACTCTGGACAATGGTTCTATATAGAACCATGAATGCTCTAAGAACTATTTGCATGCTTAAATGGTTCTTTGAGTTTTTAAATGGTATTTTAGATCGATGGAGAACATGTTGTAAATGATTTTTTTATAGCATTACAATGTGTTCTGCAAATGTTGCAAGCTTGGCATCTTAACAATAGCAGTACCCTATATAGAACCATAGAAAACACAGTCTCTTTCAGTCTGAAGAACAATTTCACCATGCAAAGAATCATGAATGTTGTAATATAGTACTTACTATTTTGTGCTTAAATGGTAAAGTGGCATACTAAAAATCTTTTACTGTGTAATTATATATATATATATATATATACATATATATATATGTGTGTGTGTATATATATATATATGTATGTATATATATATATATATATATATATATATATATATATATATATATATATATAATTTATACACACACACGCACACACACGAAATGGTTATATGCTGCCTGATAACTGACACATTGTCTTATGATAGTTTTGTGATAAAGTTTTGGCTTGAAATGTTTTTTAATCTGTTTACTTTAATCCGGGGTACATGCAGGGTGTTGTGAGACAAAATAGATTTTTACACTATTTTACCATCAACATTTTATATAAAAACTCAGATGAGTAGGTCCACTGGTGGTTTTGGATAGTAAATAAAATGGCTTTATCTGTGTTGTAGACATGGTGATCCCTGGTTCCCATCACCACCACTGTCAATACTGTAGAGTCTGTACGTTGCATTGACTATATATTTGTTAATGAAAGGGTCTGTTTTAAGCTAAGATGCTCAACTTCCAAGCTTCCATTTGCTGCTGGTTGGGTTATCCTTATTTCTCCTATCCTTTGAATGGAGGCAGAGATTGAACAGTGCCAACTATCCCCGCTGTCTCCTATTATGAGGAGTATTTCCCATGTGGTTTTGGACGCAGCCATCATCTCAATTTATTTCTTTCTTTTTCGCAGAGGGCGTTCCTATGCGGCTAGTTCATGCATTGTACTTCCTGTATGAGGGTAAACTTGACGGAAATAGCTAGCCCTTTAGCTGTGGTAACAACAGAGGAAATGTATTCTTTTTCTGTGATTGTATGACATACAAAAGCGGTGATGAAACACGGCGTTTAAGAGTTATGGCTGTGCTGGCGGTGTTACACAGTCTGGATTTTTTCAGTTATCGGTTTGGGTATGCATGAAGGTACGTTGGTTTGTTTACCCAACCTTTGGTCAGTGGACAAGTAGCTAGCAAAGTAACGTTAGCATCTGACAAGGCCTTATTATTAACGTAAGCTAGCAAGTAGCTAAGTTAGCTACATTTGTTATCCTAACAAATCGACGTTAACATTTGCTAACAAAACAAGCGGTAACATAAGTGTAGTTACATTGTTAAGCTGCAGGTCTAATTCAACGGCTTTTCTGTGTTTTGCTGATATGTGTCTTTTCACTGGCAAACTGGGGTCAATGCTTAATGCTTGGGGCTGGTGAACAGTAGCTGGCTATTTACTGTCTGCTAGCATTACAAGTAATGTGAACGAGACCTAGGCTGATCTCAAATGGCCCCCTCCTCCCTATATAGTGCGCTAGGTAAGTTAGGAAATTCTGGCTTTTACACCCAAAAAGTGCATTATTTGTCCATTAGGGAATTGTACACAAGTGGCTGAATCCCACAATGGCTATTAGTTAGACACATTGTGTACTGTTTGAGCGCAGGAGCCAGTGTTTTAGTTCCTACGTAGTGCACTAGCTAGGGGGTAGGGACCCATTTAGGATTCAGCCCTAGACATGCATCAGTCTAGCTAAGTTAATTAACGCACTGTAACGTCGCGGTTGAGACTGCAGTAGGGTTAAGTTTACTTTAGTGGATTTAGTGGGACTCCCTGTAGTAACTTACTTGGCGGGTAGCATCCATCCTGGCTAACATCGCTACGTAGCATCGGCTACTGTAGCTAGATAGCCGAAGTCCTTAGCTAGCGGAGTCTTCCCTATAACAAAGTTCTCTAGGTTAGCTGAGGTTAGCTCACATCATCTTTGGCACAAAGCTCGCTGCAGATCGTCAGCTGTAGTGGTAGCTCCCCGCTTTAGCTGGTTACATGTATTAGTGTTCATGTTGGAACTGGAAACAAGTTGAGGAGACGTTGAACTGGTAGACTGTTAATGGATTAACATTAACGTTGGTACACTTTCTGTATCTCTGCAACATTTGGCGATAGCTAGCTCCACATGTAGCAAGCTTGTCATTTTTACTGATAAGACCTCCCAAAAGAAATCTGGGTTTGAACACATAAGCTATTGGAGCCATGCTTACTCTGTATATGCACTGCAAGATAACATGAAAACTGGTTTAGTAAACTGGGTCTGAGTTGAAACTCACATCTGTATTTGAAGCTAATAGCTGCTAACGCTTGGTTAGCAGTTGGCTGTGTTTCTGGGCGTCAGCTGCCAAAACTGTGCATTATTTGATGCATATACATGATTTTTAACTTAAAGGGGAACTCCACCGTTTTTCCAAAAAAATATACATAATGAAATGGCTACGATGTAAACCAAATCATTCAGAGTGGTTTGATGTGAAATGCTCCTTTTTGAGAAACTTGGAGAGCTGCTGAGTTGTTCACCATAGTGGTGATAGGAGCCAGACATTTATAGCTCCCTCATTGAAAGTTACTACATGAGATGGTTAGACATGTTCTGCCTGATATCTGACACATTGTCGTGTGATAGTTTTGTGATACATTTAAGCCAAAACTTTGTTTTAATCCGTTGACTTTAATCCGTTCGTGGTGGAGGGGTGCATGCAGGGCGTTGTGAGGCAAAATAGATTTTTACACTATTTTACTCTCAACATAATATATAAAAGCTCAGATGTGTAGGTTCACTGGTGATTTTGGATAGTAAATGAAATGGCTATATTTGTGTTGTAGACATGGTGACCCCTGGTTCTTACTGCCATTATTGTAAATGAATCTGTACATTTCTCTACAATGAACCATTTGATGTCAAACCACTTTGGATGACTGTTTATGTCTCAAGGACTGCATTATTCAGACATTTTGGTGGAATTGCCCTTTAATACGTAGGCTGCCTGTTTGAAAAGTTGGTATATGGGTCTGCATCACTTGTGTTGTAATGTGATATTTACAGGTAATGTGTATAATAGAATGACCAGAAAAATAAAAGCGTGCTCAGGCCAAGATGGAAAATGTAACTGTCACTACCTCTGTTAATGTTCCTGTTTGCTTGTTAACTGATTCCACAATTTTCCCATGCAGGCACACATGCTCCACCACAGAGAGCAGAAAACAAACCCAAAAAGAAGAGGACATCACTGGTGAAGAAAGAGCAGAATCAAACCTCAGTTAAGTGCCAGAATATTACACAAGTGAAGAGGAGCGAGCAAGGAGAGCAGGTGGGGAGGGTGGCTTAAGGAGCAGCAGGAGGTGCCACTCAGAATGGCTTTCCTTGACAACCCCACCATCATATTGGCCCACATCCGACAGTCCCATGTGACTAGTGATGACTCGGGTATGTGCGAGATGGTGCTGATTGACCACGATGTGGACTTAGAGAAGTGCCATTCGACTGCCACATCTGCTGGTGGTGGATCGATGGGGGGTATGTTGGGGGATGGAGGTGTTGGCGGAGATGGTCAGACATGTGACCTCTCTCAGTCCATGGACATCACCTCCAGCTGGGACTTTGGCATCCGCCGTCGCTCCAACACAGGTAAGCGGCTGTAGAACTACTAAGAGTGCTGCAAGCTGGGCTCTAAATCTAGCAAAATGGTGTATGGGTAATCCTGTTTGTGTGCTTTGGTACAGGTAAAGGCTTCGATTTTCAGACAGGTGTCTTATAAGAAGCGCTTAAGGTTAATGGGGTAAAAGTGCATCATGCTGAAATCTCCTTTCTGAATTCTCGCAAATTAGGGCCATACTGCTGACCTGCTGCAACTGCTTGATTTGGCTTTTTTTGTAAGGCAGTAGTTAATGTAAATTGTTAACTGCATAATCTTGATCTTCCCTACTGCACTGGGATAAATGTTATTATTGTTAGGGCTGCAACTACAAAGTATTTTAATTTTCTGTTGAAAAGTATTTTAGTATTTTCTATTGAAAATTATTTTGAATATTTGAATATTCTATAAGAATGTGTATCATTAATCATTAAATCACTTCAATGATTAAAAATCGTTATCTGATATTTTTTGCTATTGCATAAAGTGCTTGCATTTTTGGAATGCATACTGGGGATCCTGCCCAATCTGGCCCCCCTGACGAGGTTGCAAAAACTATTCATACATTATAGGAAACAGCGTCTTTTAACCACATTGTCTTGAAAAAAGATTAATGGTCAACTCTTGTCTGGAAGGCCATTGACCATGTTTTGGATTTTATATAACCAAGTTTTTCAAGCTGCTCAGAAGTTTCTTTGCGCTCTGGACAGCCAGTGTGCTGGCCAATGACAGAAGTAAATGCAGTGAAGAGCAGGCACTTAGCAATCCAGAGCAGAAGGAAAAGCATTTGGGCTACACCAGGTGATTAAATCTGATATCATCACCTCAAATGAAAGCGCTAATACAGACGGTTAGGAACAGAGTCTCAACAGCCCGACCTCTGACTGCCAAGATGTTGGGGCTTTGACAGGGAAGGACTGTTTGGACATGGGGAAAAAAAAGCTTACCGTAAATCACTGCATGACATGCAGGCAGATTATCTTGCCCTCTGAGAAAAACCAATACACTGAAGCGCTTGCTTTTGTAATCAGTTAAAAGTCCCACTCATTCAAATTGTTTTTCAGTTTTCAAATATTTTAATTAGTGAATTTGATTGATTATTTGTTGCAGCCCTATTTATTTATTTGTTTATTTATTTTTGCAATCAGGAATGTGTCTCAAATTGATTTGTGTGCATTAATGATGGCTTTGTATCTATGGTAAATATCTTGATTTGACTAAATGCCACACTAAGGAACAAACTGACTGAAATTCATTTAGTCTAGTTAGACTGGCTAGACTATGTATTGGTCTAGCCAGACCACAGAATTCAGCTTGAGCTGTGGATGCTTAATATTGTAATGCAACTGTAACACAGCTAACTACGTTGTAATACAACTGTTGTGTTGTAACTCTGCCTTAGGGATGCACTAATACCACTTTTTTCACAGCCAGTGTGTAAGTCTGAGAACCGACACTTAAGGGCCTGCTAATATCATATTCCCAGTATCATTAGCCACACTCTTCCTCCACACTCATCTTCCTTGTGCCACAGTGCGGCTGTTATAGGTCACAGTCGTTTGATAGTGTTAGCTGCAGTGCGTATGCAGTTTCTTGATATAGTGTGTTTCTCAGACTTTGCATTATGGTATCTTTAGTACTGTTGGCCTGGCTGCTTCTGGATGGCTATCAGTGCATCTCTACTCTCACTACACTGAAAACCTAGTATTTTCTTGGTTAATGCTGCAGAGCTGTTCTCTCTGCAGGAACAGTGCACCATCATTTGTTAATTGAAAAGGATACGTTCACATTACAAGCCTTGATTTTCAGTTCACATTTGTGTAGATAAGTGACTCAAATCTGTCAATGTGAACAAACCTGTATCCTGAAATGACCCGCATGCACACATCTTGATCAGTAGTGTCAACGTGAGTGAACCACATGTGCCATCAGCCACAGACTAACCAGCAGAACAAGGCTTTGTTGCGAATATAATTTGCTCTAAACAGCTCACAGCTGCTCGTTATTAAAACAAGGCGAAATCACTTGTGTAGTGTTTTCCAGCACTAACTTCAGGTTAGGCACTGCTGCATTAACACAATGATGGTGCATGCGCGGTAAAGGAACAAATAAAATGTGATCTGACTGTGCTCAATAAAGTCACATGGCCATGAAACTTTTATGTATTATCTGATTTAGGACCACATATGAAAGTGGCTCAAATCTGATTTGAAAAGGTCTGGTTCACACAGCTCTGAAAAAAAAAAAATCTGATCTGTGCCACAGTAAAGCAAAAAAATAAGATTTGTGCTGCCTCAGCCTGGTAATGTGAACTCGTTTTAAAAGTCATATGACCTTCACAGTAACAAAGAATGAGCATTGAGATGTGAATTTCTTAGAGACTAATTGCATAGACCTAGTTTGAACCTTAACGCTACACTATGTAAGATTTGGGAATTTGGAGATCTCTCTGGTTTAAATGAGTGGAAGAGCATATTGTAACGACACTTGTGTTTTGGACCCCTTCTCCAAGTGGATGAATCTGTTGATTGTGTGTGCATTGAAAAGAGTATTGAAAGAACTCAGAACTTGAACGCAGTGTCTTCTGAGGACTAGAATAATCTACTATGGTCATCATATCTTTGTCAGTGTTTTTTTTTCCTTTTCTCCTGACTCTTCTTGTTCTTTCTTGTTTTATCAAAGAAAAATCTTACATAGTGCAGTTTTAAGACAGTTAGAAAAGTGCCAAATTGTCTCCTCTTGTCTCGTCGCTTTAAGTTGAAGATGTGTGGCATCAAGTTTCAGTCAGTTTCTGTCTATTAATATGGGCAAAGGATGACACACTTTAACTGCAGCTTTTACTCTACAGATGTTACAAAAGAATAGAAGTGGGGATGTAAATGATTAACTGATTAACCGTTAACCAGCAAATAAATAAAGTTGTTCAATAGATGCTATTGTTAAAAACAGTTGGTATGATTTTGTTTAAGTTCCTATAAACAACAGTTCCTTTTTGTATATGCGGGTTTATCATTAAAGTTGAACTTTTTTCATTTGCATGCATGAGGGCACAAAAGCCTATTGGTTCCACTTGATAGGCCTACTAAAATTATCAAGTGTGCTGGTGAGAATAGTGACATTTGGGAGTTTTTTTCGAGAGGACAGTGGCACAACTACAGTATTGTACTGTATCAAAAACAAACGTGACAATCACACATGGGTGTGCAAAATTATAAAGTTGACTACTTTTCAGAGAAACTGAAGTACATTAAGCCAAAGCTAGCCTCAGTCATGGCATTTGTTTGTTTTAACTTGGGCTAGCAATGAGTGGTACATTAAAGCAATAAGCCAAGAGAAGCTGTACTGTGATTTTATCATGAGGAGGGTGTTCACATCGTGCCTAAAACTCCCTTCCCTGTGATAAAATCCCAGTAACACGTCTCAAGTGGCTTATAGATTTTCTAAAATGGCGGCCAACATAAAATATGACAAAATACACAATTTTTCAGAAAAAATGTAAGTTATTATTTATAATAATCAACAGAGTATTCCGCCAAGAAATGTAGATCCTTTAGAGTATGGTATCATTGCTAAGCAAGCATGGACTGCTAAATAAGGAGAACCATCACTTTGGTCGGCCATCACTGCATATTGTGGTCATTTCATGATTTTTTTTTTTTAACTTTTTGTTGTATAACATTGAACATGTGATAACACGGCACTGTTTAATGCAGAAACAGGGTTGTTGTTCAATATGGTTTCGGGCTTGTTTACTTTATATACTCATTTATGCCTGACCACACTTGTGAGTACTGTGTTCTGCGGTCCGTACAGGAAACACTTTTTAACATTTCAGTGTTTTAAAACGGAATTTAGTTGATGTGTCCTCATAAGAGAGTGCATATCAAGTATTTTACATTTGCTTTGAACATGGCACTATTCGTTTTATAATTCAGGGATTATAATTCGAATGAATATTTTGATGGGTCGTGTCCTTGTTTTTAGGCTTGCTGGTTAACTGTTAATTGCCCATTAATAACAGTCTATCAGTCAAAATAATTCATCTAAATGTGCATCTCTAAATAGATGTGATCTAGTCAGAATGCCATGTTTTCCTATCAGATGAGTTGTAAGGGCTGTGGTGGTAAGAGAACAGTGGGGATGTTCAAGAAAGAATGTAAATGAAAGAGTTAATATCCGGTGTGCAAAGTGAATGGACAGAGTCTTTGGCTGTAGACTATATTCCTTTGGTTTGTTCAACATTTTACTAGGTTCATTTTCTTTCTTTATTTATTTTCGAGAGTTCCTGAGTGCACTAATTGTCTAGGTAATTTCTTTTGGGAAGCAAAATCCCTTTCCCAAAAGGGACAAATCAAGCATTTGTCCATGAATATAGGATTTATCTTGTCCATGACTTTGCTCCACTGGCTGAGCTCTTTTTCTGGGGTTGATGTTTTGGTGGATAGTATACTATGTTGAATTGTTTTTCCGTTGGAGAAACATCTGAACAGCTTGTCTCCAGAACAGGAAGAGAGTTTCGTGAGACCAGAGCCTACTGGTAAGCAATGATGTGTCAAGGAGTGGGGTCAGTTCATTAGTGTGTTATATATGGATGATGGTGGATTATCAGCTTTTCTTTTACTGTCACCTTATTGATTAGACCTACATGTAGTTTATGTTGTAGAAAAAGAAATAAAAGCAAAGTGCTTTGACATTTCATTTTCATTATCTTAATGGTCTGACTGAAATTAAAAAAGGAAAATCAATCACCCATTTGCAATTAAACTTTCACTGTCAACGAGGCACTCTTGTCGATCAAAAACTGTGCTTGGGACGTCAGGAGAGACTTTTTAGGAGTGGAACTCGATGCTTATTTAATACAATACAGATCTAGCACTAGCAAACACGGATGACATTAACTCTCACTGACCAGGCTGAGGATAGTTCTGTCCAAAGTGATTTTTGTGTTTGTGATTCTTGACCAACTAGGAGAGCTTGTGGCTGCATGAGCACCAAAGTTAGTGACATGGTGACCAGCTTCAGGCAGATGCAGGACTGTTGGAGGAACAGTGGACCTCGATTAACAACTACCTGCACATTTCGGTGCTATTCCTGCTTTAACACACCCATGGCCACACAAATGGTCAGGGGTTGGAAACAAACTGTTTTGTGTGGAAGTCATTTTTGACTAACCTAGGAGATCTTGTGGCTGCATAAGCACCAGTATTATTGACACTGTAACCGGAGGCTCGCAGGACTGTTGGAGAAACATGGTCCTGCACATTTTAGAGCTTTAACTGCTATAACACGCGCATTACAAATAGCCAGGGGCTGTTACGAGCTGTGCATCTTGTTTTTCCAAAATCTTATTGTCGAGTTTCTCCAGGAGCGGGGTTGGGAAACACTGTGCTAACCCACAGTGGCCCTTCACCTGTTTAATAAGAATATCCATTGTTGGCCATCCAGGTCTGACAGTCCTGTGAGACTCTGCCTGAAAAAATCCTACTTACCATTTTATGTAGGGAGCTACCTAAAAATATGCACTACGATAGACGAGGCTGAAATCAGCTTCTTATTCGCCTGCTTGTTTTTTTTATCTTCTCATTCTATCTTAAATGGTGCAGTAGTTAGCACCTTGCCAGAATGTGTCAGAAGGTAACTGCTGCAACATTTAAGATGGAACAGAAAAATTTGAATAGGAAGCTGACTTCAGCTTCATCTACGGTAGGACATTTTGAACCGGTCACTATGTCACTAAAACTGGTGCTTCTGCGAGCTCTCCTAGAATCGCTCTCCTAGAACGAGCTCTCCTAGAATCGCTTCCACAAAAAAAAATCACTTGACAGAATTATCCTCGGTGCTGGTTAGCGGGTGTTAATATGTCTCTCTGCGGTTGGTATTGCTGGCTCTGTGTTGCCCTAAATAAGTCTAGCTCTGCACCAGAGCCGTCAAAGCATAGACTTGTAACCTCCTCTTCAAATACGTCCCACACCAAAAAGTTCCAATTGCAATTCCACTTTGGCAGAACTGAAGTGCGACAAAGAGGAAATGCAATTGCAAATGGGCAGTTGTTTTTCAGACCATTAAAACAATGAAAATGAAACGTCACAAGCACTTTGCCTTTCCATATTAACTTTAACAGATATGCACAGAAATGCAGATGCAAATACACATTTTGCATTTGAATTGTGTTAATAATGTACACTCACATAAATACCCAAATAAATTAGCATTTTCAAATTTGCATTTGAATTTGAATAAAGTCTGGAATACGCTTCTGTTTTCTGCTTGTTGAATGATTCATTTTTTAAAATTTGTTTTAATTCATGATTTAAGTTGCCAGTGTCTACTTTCTGAGATCTGTTTTCCGTGACATTACCTGCAGGGCTTTGTTCAAAACGTTTAGGGTTTAAGCCCCACTAAGCCCACTGTGGGCACCGTCTGTGTCACTAGTAACAAGTCAGATTGTCTGGCCTTTTTTTCAATAAATATTTCTTGCTCTCATTTTACCAGACACTACGTTTTTCTTTAATTTATTATCGATTCTTTAAAAACATCGATTGGATTTTTAAGAAACACAGTTAAACCAGTTACCTACAAGCTGGTCTGAAATTAGTCAGAAATCTGAAATTTTACCATTGATACATCTGTTGCAAACACGTCATAGCAGTGATAGAGTAGTCTCTAGAGCAGGATTTCCCATTTCTCAGTATTTGAATACAGACAAATTCACTTGTGATGACAACTTGATAGTGAGAATAAATAAATAAATTGTGAAGGCTTTGGTCTGGATACTTGGAGGCATGCTGTTTTGAATTTTTTGGGCTAGGCGGCTCACAAGCTTGGCAATCATAGTCCTAATGCAGAGGGAAGCAAGATGCTTAACACTTCTGCTAGGAAAGTGAACATCTTACTGCTCTCTTATTCCTGTCTTCAAATCGTCAGAATTGAGAGCAGTGGTTCTCAAACCAGTCCTCAGAGTCTCTCAGGCAGTCTGTGTTTTGTTCCAGCCCAATCAAATGTAGGGGGAGAGGAAAAATTTAGACCATGTCGGGGTTAACTTACCTAGGTAGAGGCTTTAGAAATTGCCCTTGTCAAACCAGTGAGGCTGAGAGCAATGCTGTGCAACAAAAATCTTCATAACACGAGAATGTGTCACTGGATTTTAGACACACTGTTCTACTGTTTGTATCTTTGTATGTATTAGTAATAAAGGGGTAGCCCTTCATATGTTTGGCCTGAGATGAATTCATGCTGTATAATTCCACATAACTGAAATGTCATATTGTGCTTTTCCAGCTTTTTCCCCAAGTTACCTCTTTTTTATTTTATTTATTTTTTTTAAATGATAACTATGGTATCTGCATTTTAAAGCTCAAAGGCTGGAGAGACTGAGGAAGGAACGCCAGAACCAGATTAAGTGTAAGAACATTCAGTGGAAAGAGAGGACGTCTTCTCAGTCAGGTACAGCACCTCTAACTGGGCAAGGGCTGTGGTTTTATCTTATGTGTTTGCATTCCTTTCTTTCTTGCCCATTCTTTATGCCTACTGATTTTGTTGGTGTTCATTCTGAATCTCTGTAGCGGATGACTTGAGTTCCCTTTTTGAAAAGAAGGACTTCAAGGACAGACCTCGGTGCACAGGGACCAAATCCACCCTCTCTTTGCGGCTAGAGCAGTGCCCTCAGCAGCTCAACAACCCCTTCAATGAGTACTCCAAATTTGATGGCAAGGTATGAACTATTCATTTAAATGGTGCTTTTTTTTTTTCTCCGCTCATACAGTACATGTAATTAGACATCTACAATGAGTTTCCTAGAATGAAATGAATGAAAAATGAATCCAACTGTTTAGCCCGATAAAAGGTAATCTATAGTAGACATTTTTCTGCGCTGATATGTGAAAGTGGCTCCAAGCATCCCAAAACTAAACATCAGAATGCCTGTGCTTGGTCTTGGTATCTGTGAAAATATTAGCGATAATTTTTGCCTTTTTTTGCGGAATAGCAAGGATATGACAGCAATACAGACTGAACTGGTAAACTAAGCATCATGGTTAAATGACATAAATATATGTTCTCATTGAATGTATGTGTATCTGAGACCAGAATTATGAAATCAAAGGATGCACCAAAATTTTGGTCACCAAAACATTTTGACCAAAAATCCAAAATGCTGTTTTTGACTATTTTCAGCCAAAATATTGCGGCGTATAAAACTGCCAAAAGACCAAATATTTTTCCAAAAGAAAAAACTCCAGATGACACTTAACAAATCATTTGAAACATGATGAAAATAGCAAACGGTGATTAAAACGCTATATTTTTCTTCACTCTCCTGAGCAGGTCAGTGCTGATGCATTAAGTTTGAGCAGCAGCAGATAAACAGTTGGAGAAGTCAGCTGCGTGGAAGTATTTCACTGTTTTTGTAAGGGACATTAGACAGGAGGTGTGTCTCTGTTCATCCCGAATATTGAGGGAGTACGACCCTCAGCTTTTCCATCACAGATTTGGTACCACTTGAAAACCGAACGTTCCACTCTATAAACTAAACGCAGCAAAACAGAAGCCGACAGGAGAGTCCCTGCTAGCACGCTTACGCTATCTGTAGCGTCAGTTCTTGAAACGATGAAAAAAATTAACAGCCAAAGTGCAAAGTATAACTAAAGAAATAGAGTTTCTTGCCTTAGATAAACAGCTGTCCTTTGTTGTTGAGAACTCTTACTGGTGCACATTCTGTAATTTTAGTAAGTTTATTTTATCCAAACACATAAGTGTATTTTCTTGATTTAGTTTTTATGTTCATTCGAAAGCATAAATAAAACGTCTGTATATATAGCATATTGCTTATGCGTTACATTAAATGGTATAGATGCACCATAAAGGTAATGCATTAGTAGAATTTATTTATTTCGTTTACACACACAGCAATGAGTTGCCCTGTGATTGAAAGTTCCCAGTTTGACATGCCTGTCTTAGTGTAACAATCAAAGTGTTGTGGAGATTAGCATTTACCCTTGTCTAACGCTCTGTATTCAGTTCATGAAATTGTTAATTAGCTGATTAGCTGAATCAGGTGTGTTTAATGAGGCAGTGTGCTGAAGTCTGTAGTGTTTTGGCCCGAAAGGACCAGAGCCTGACACACCAAAAAAAAACACTATACACCAACACTTTGTTGTTGTTGTTGTTGTAGTAGTATCTCCATTTTTGCAGTTTTGTGACATAATTCGAAAACGCCTGTTGCCCTTTACATTGTGTGTAAATTTTATGATGAATGGACCAAAGAAAATGGCTCAAAATTATGGAAAAAGGTCTGATTTCATTGACTTACCCTAAAAGTGTTTTTTCCCCTTCTCCTGTTATCATTTTGGTGATACAAGGTTTTGTTCCGGCAGCAGCGATTTATTTCTTCTTGCTTCTTTGAATTTAAGTTATTTCAAGTAAAATTAAATAGATAAGTTTAAGTAATTAAAGTTAGCATTCTAATAATCCTCCTATTAAGTGGGAAGTAACTTATTTCATAGGTAGTCGTGTTAGATTTACAGAGATTGAAATACTGCTTTTTTTTCTTTTTTTTTTTTAAGTTCATATAATGCTCATCTAATTATGTTTAACCAAAGTTTTTGCATCATGCTTAGAGTAACTATAATTTGTGTCTTTACTGTTCCTGTACAGGGCCATGTAGGTACAACAGCAACCAAAAAAATAGACGTCTACCTCTCAATGCAGTCTGCCCAGGAGAAGTTGCATCCTATGATGGTGGTCACTATGGCCAATGCACGGGTCCATGATCTCATTGGTCTTATCTGCTGGCAATACACCAGTGAGGGCCGCGAACCCAAGCTCAAGTAAGTAATGACACAAGTGAAGATAAAACCCCAAAAAATCTGCATTGAGTGAATCAGAAGCATTAAGAAAGGTGAGTGTAGTGAGAATTGGAAACGTAGAGCCAAGACAGGTAACTGGTGAAGTATGATGCATGCAGATGTTAGCATCTTGCTTTCTCTGAACACTTCATGATAATATGGACAAAAGAGGACTAAATAGACTGTGCTTTTAATTTATTAGGAATTAATGTGCATAATTACTGTCGAACATTGTGCATTAAGGATTTAAATTATTGAATGGAAGATGAGCACTGTTACTTATGTGGTAATATAAGCCTGATCTACAAATGGGTCCCATCTTCTTTTGTTTTCAGTCTTTTTGATTGCATTCTAATACAAAAAGCAGTGATAGCTGTGCTGCATTGAGCCAGACATAAAATATATTTAGAATTGGTTTTTGTCTGTTTTTTTTACATTTGTTGTCCTTATTGGTTCGCCTCATTGCATTATTATCCTTATTGCTTTTATGTTAGTGCTGATTAAGCATCCCTGGTGGTTCACAGCTTTTGGGATTAATATTGTAATTTAAAATTTTCCCACGTTATGTAAACATTTGTATGCATTTTTTTTAAGCTATGCAAGCAAAACCTTTGTTTGCTTCATTTGTTGCATTCCAGGATGCAGGTTTTGTGTATTTAAAGCCAAACTTCCCAAAGAAAAAAATAGGGGAGAAAATGGTCTTTATTTCTTTGACCTGCTAAGGGCTATGCATTTGTGAGCAAATATTTGTTGCTGTATGATTGTCCTCACTGTTTGGAATACACACTTTTTGTTTATAAAAGTGCGGTAGTTGCAAAAGAGAGCTTGACAAACTAGCACTTTAGAAGATCTAGGTGAAACAAGTGTGTCGATGATCAAAGGGTTATATTGTGTCTGAATCGTCAACAATTTATAATGACTTGTGCAATTGTTACTGTTTAAAAAATTTAAAATGCGAACTCTTTATTTTTGTCTCTGCAGTGAGAACGTAAACACATACTGCCTCCACATAGCTGAGGATGATGGAGAGGTGGACACAGATTTCCCCCCTCTAGATTCCAATGAACCCATCCACAAGTTCGGCTTCAGCACGCTGGCCCTAGTGGAGAAGTACTCATCTCCAGGACTCGGGCCCAAGCAGTCACTCTTTGTCAGAATGTAAGTCATTCTCAGCCTATTGTAGATACAGATAAGGCAGATGTTACTGGACAGTCTTCAGACCATGTATTACTCTGTGTATAACTCTGTGTATTATAAAGAGTTGTGCACACTTGAATAACTGTAAAAATACCACAGTAGATACTAAAACTTGGGGGATGTGCTCCTTTCAGTAACCAGATTACCTGCTTCTTAAAAAAGTTACTAGCAACGTTGGTGACATTGTTTTACTCTATTTGTTTGGCCAAAGACCCGGAACCAAGATGGTGTGTGCTGGGCAAAGATGTTCAGATGATTGTTTACAGTGACACAGTTCAGATGGCTTTACATATTTAACTAACTTTTTTTGGTCTACAAAGGATCTCAATCATTTGGTTTGAATCCAAAATTATTCAAAAATAACACTGGGCAGAAGGGCAGGCTGCCGCTAAATCTAGCTTGTGAATTGAAAAATAAGTAGTTTTTCTTTTTTTTGGATGCCCTGACATCTCGTTTTATTATGCTGTCCCTGGAATAGTCATAAGAAGAGCACGTTCAGCTTCAGAAGGTTTGTCTTTTCTGTATAAATACTCTGCATTAGCCTTGGGCCGACAATTCAGTTCATCATATATTGCGTTTATTTAAAGTGCTGGTATCATGCAAAATATTGTTGTTTTGTTCTCTTTCATGTGCCTTGTGATTATTTATCATTAATAAAAAATCCATACAATGGAAGAGATTGCACTGAATTATAGACTATACAAACAGAGCATCTGCTAATTAACTATATACATGCCTCTTGGAACAATTTTTATGTAGATTTTCAGTCTGGCAAAGAATGCTGAGTAACATGCCAATGAAACAAAGAAACTCTGGTACATGAGATCTTCTATCTGGTTGAGAGTGAAATATACAGGCTTGTCCAGAAGAAGGATGCCAGTGTGCCATGTATTTGAAAGGCCATCAGTAAGCTGTTGTTTGGCATTCCTGAATGTAGGCAGATGTGCTGCCAAAGAAATGTCAGCAATTTTTGCTACAATAAACTTTTGTTTTATACACCTCATCTGTTTGCTGCTATGGACTGAGATTTGGTCCCCGGGGCTTTTGTGCTCCCCAGGTCACCTTCCTGCCCCCTACCGCGGAGGCAGTAGCAGACCTTAGGGGACAGCTGGGCCAGTGCTCGGCCAGTAGTGGGCCAGCAGGGCTCTGTCCTTTCCTGTTGGACATGGTGTCTCTCAGGATTGATATTAATGCCTCCTTATGAGGCTGTCAGGGGCTTTTGCTCAAGGCAGTAGGGTCAGGCCTGCTAAATAGAAGTGGACAAGTGAGTCCTCTGTCAAAGACTCAGTGCTGTCCCTCTGTCTATGGCCTTGGGTTGTTTTTATGTTGTGCTGTAGAAGTATTTGTGGCTGACAAACACATGGGGTTTGCATCCAAAGCTTTGAATATGCCCACATCCAACTCTTTGGGTTTGGGCCACAACTAGACATGCATACAGAAATTTGGACAGTGCAAGTAAAATTGTGCTTTTCATCTCTCAATTAATGCTCAGCACAGTATGCTCATGTCTTTATAGGCTAATACAGTGTTTACAAGCTGTGAATTTGGGCTGCCCAATATAGACATAAAATGCAATGTGCAAGAAAAGCTGTTAGATACTGCAATGACAAACTGAGTTGCAATAAATTATGTTTAAAATTTACAATTTCAGCATGTCTCTAGATATGCAGGAAGTACAGACTGCATTTTTTAAAATAATTAAGCCACATATAATTTTTTAATATAAGTTTATTCAAAATGAATGGCCATATTCTTCATATGCAGCATTTTCCTGATGTTTCTTGATTAAAAATAACAGTTCTTAAAGCTTCTTGTTGTGATAGATGAGTAGATGACTGTACTCACCATTGCTTGTTGAGAATAACCATCTTGTTTAAAGTATTTTTACAGGCTAGTAGTTCAGGATGGTCTGCTTTGTCAGTGGCTGGATAGCAAAGTGGAAAAGACATAAACCCTGCATGCAGAAGACCTGCTTTTGTAGCCCTTTTTGTGTCCTTTATGATTATTTTATTCAAAATTTCAATTCTACTCATTAGCTAGGTCTTCCCCAACACACAGTTGCCAGTAGGGGAGGCTGAAGGCTAGCATGTGGTTCTTCGGAGTCATCGTAAAGCCAGTAACGGCATCTTTTTGTACTGCTGCTAGCCTCATTGGATGACTCAACATGATTAGATAACAATCAGATGTCAGATAACAAGTGCCTGCATTGGCTGTCTTGGACTTCCAGCTACAAATGGCTGTGGCATTGATAGGCAGAATGCTTAGACCAGCTAGTGTCATACACACCAATGATCACAAAGACTATGATCCACAATGCTGAAGTGGCACAAATCTGCCTTAACGTGACAGATCTGATGTTTTCAGAGCAGTGTGGGCACGCTAATCTGATCTTTTCAAATCAGGTCTGAGCCACTTTCATATTCCTAGATCTGCATATTCACCATTCTTCTCTGTTAACGTGGCAGCAACGTCTAAGCTGAAGTTAGTGCCATTAAGTGGTGCAAATGCCACTGACCATTTTTCACACTTATCTTGGCCTAATATTGAACAACTCAGAGCTATTCAGAGCATATTATCTTTGAAACAATGTCTTGTTCTGCTGGTTGTTAGTGACGCATGTGGTTCATTTATGTGACATTCCTGATTCAGATATGTACATGCAGCTCATTTCAGGACACAGGTTTGTTCACAATAATGATGTATTTGAATCACTTACCTACACGAATGTGAACCATCAAGTTAGAAAGATCGGATCTCAGCAAAAAAATCTGAATTGGGCAATGAGGCTTATAATATGAACATAACATAGATTTAGGACCAGAAACTGGATTCAGATTTAAAGACCTCTGGCTTAGATGGCTGAAGACCTAAAATGATCTTATCGTATTTGTCTAGAACTGGCAAAAGTGTTTTGCTGTAATAAATGTGATCAGAAAAAAATGATTTTTATAAAAGCAAATTATGTCCCAGGGAGACGAGGTGTTTGACTGCCTATGTTATCTTTCTCTATAGAAACGCTGCCCATGGTTTCTCCCTGATCCCAGTGGACAGTCTAAAGGTAACCATGAAGGAGATTCTACAGAAGGCACTGAAGAAAAGAAAAGGCTCACAGAAGGGATCAGGTAGGAGTCTTCATGTGTAGCACTGGGTAGTGTTCGAAATTTGTTCAGGTCTGGTACTTTGAAATCAATTCCATCGTGAACCTTTTTTCGGTACTTTTTTCTGAAAATCATAATTGCTTCAGATGTCAAATGTCAAGGTAAGGTCCTTGGCTCTCACTAAAACATTCTGATAGAGTAGTCTTCGAAATATTACAACACTGTAGAGCTCAGAGTTCACTGTAGAGCTCAGGGAATGTCATAGCTAACACTGCTTCTTAGTGCTATCCAAAGCATCACTATCAAGATCATAGTGCATACAAAATGAAAACATTTTTTAAATCTTGCAACTTATTGAAAGAAAACTAACTGAACTGTTCCTGATGTGTCCTTGCTGAGAATTGCCATTGCTTTGCTGTGTGGCAGTGGGATGTTTTGCTTTGGATAATGAGCTTTTTTAGTGAAGCAAGTGAGTATCTTTCCCATGCAGTTAAAAAGGTTCCTGTTTTACTGACATCAATGTTTATCTAGTGTTATGTTACTGTCTGCTGTGCAGTCATGCAGTCATTATTGGGCTATGATTTCAGCATTGTCTATAGTTTCATTATCAATATGGTTTCGATATCAATTGCAAATCAGTTCATTTGGATATTACAAAATATCATACAAAATCCTTAAGTGGTCTGAGTGCAGATTTTTCTTTACTGCCTGTCATAACATCTTCCTATGTCTATACCTACTGTGTGAACACCAGCATACACATCACAGGAACTGAAAACCTACACGTTCCCCCTTGCCCTGATTGTGTTAGATGTAAATGTGTAGACGTGTAGTATCCGACTGTAGCAGCGGAGGCATGACGGAGCATTGCCTGCAGGAAGGAAAGCCAGTCTAGGTAAAACCATAGATTAATTACCTGCTGGTTTACCTAAGGTGGCTCCGCATCCTACAGTCAGTGCTTGATCACGTTCCGCTGCCACATCCAAGTTTGCTTCTTTAGTTTGGCACTAGAGCTATTTTGTGCAATGGCACTGCAAATTAGTATATTTAGTCTTTTTAATGACAGCGGGATAAAAAACAGAGAGCTGAACCAGGCCAGTTCACAACATTGAAAACAAAATTCTCCTAAACAGCATCTTCCAACTTGCACCAATGGATACAAAAAGTTTTCTTCTCTGTGATCTTCAGTCAAGATTGCACTGAAAGTTGAAAAAGATAGAGCTCTCCATTGAATTGCATTTATTTTAGAATAAAATGCGTACCATTTTATGAAGCTGTTGTTTTTACTGTGCAGCTGTTGGACTGTTTCCCAGCTTCTAAAACTCTTTCCATGCAGCAAAAAAAACATTTATGCCAAAGTAACATCTATGAGGTCTCTGAAGTCACACAGGGTTGCATGCACTTGGATAGGCCTTAATCAAAACCAGCAATTCTTAACAAATTGCGATGTGAGTCACATATGGAAGGTTTCGCTGAAAGCAGTTTCTGTCCACCACACCCATCTTTATAATTTTACACACGTATGCATGGTTTGATCACATCACCATGCATCACACTGTCTTTCTGAAAACATGGATAGTTGTCTTATCACTTGCAGATATTTGCTCTTGATATGGTATATTATAGTTGTGCAATTGTCCTCTCGAAAAATGCTCCAGAACACCACTACTTCTAGCTGCATACTATTTAGTCTATTTAGCGGAAACAATTGTCTGCTGCACCCTCATATGTGAAATTCAAAAATGCTTTTCAAGCCTATTCAAATAGGAACTGCTTCAGAAATTAAATAAAATTTTTCTAGGACTTTATTTGTAAGTTAAAGGTTAATCTGTTAATCATGTACATCCCTACTCTGAACCTTCACTCTGGTCGTCTCTTCTTGAGTAATTCAGCTTTCCCAAAACAGTCAAGAAAGTCAGTAGCTTCTTGCTTTAGTTAAAGAAACTCCACAGTCTAGTGCCACCGAACTTTAAATATTCAGTTTGGAGTCATTTTTTTCAGTCCCAGCCTGTTTTAGTGTGGAGCTCAAAGGCAAGATTGAAACACCAAAAGGTCAAATTCAGTGTTTCTGAATGAGTTTTTAAGCCTCTCACTGCCGCCGTGCTGCTACAGGGATGCACAGTCTATATGAAGTGCACAGACAGTCTTTTCACTCCCACGTTAGTTCAACGCCCACAGTACAAATATACAAGGACCAGCATGGTTGGACTATTTATAAACCCAACTAACCCAAAATATAGGCAAAACTTAAACTAGCAAAACTGTAGGCAGAACATATTGCATATTTGATAAGAACATGACATCTGACTCGAGATGTACGATCATGAAACCTGAGGGAAAAAAGAAAAAGCACAAATAAAACCGATTAAATTAGGAATGTCAGTCTTAATGTGGTAAATGGATAAAATCTTGTTTCCAACCTTGTTAGTGACTTTGCCTGTCAGTTTTGCTATAGCATCAGGTTCGACACAGCTTCACTGAGCCGTTCATTATGGAAAAGCTTTCAGTCTGATGGACAGAACGAAGCCCTACATAATTAATGTGTTGTTTAAAGAAAAGAGGCCGAACAACTAGAAATAGTTGACTAACATGTTGTTTGGATAGCAAGTATGCTAGCTAGGACAGCTTGTCTTGACAATTGGCCAAATGCATCATGTGATTTATGAATAAATAAAATGTATGCTTTTCAAGTGATAATGGGAAAGCAGTTGAGGTTAGCATTTTAGTAATGGGCTTAACACTTGAGAGAGAAGGCAGGGTCACAAGATGAGTACTACTACTATGGTCTTCAGAAGACTTATTAGCCAGAATAAAAACGTAGTGATGAGCTGTAATAATGTAATAAAGTAATAATGGACAACAGTGATTTGTCATTTTATTACTTCTAATTAATTCTAGATTCCAGTTTATACATCATGTGATTGTGTTATGTGATATAAAACAGGTAGACCAGCATTTCTAGCATCATTTTGTCTTAAACTGAACATTGGAATGGGCAAAGTAAGTGATCTTAATGGGTTTAAACCTGGCATGACAGTAGGCATTAAGCATGATGGTACTAGTATATACAAAACGGCTGTTATTCTTGATGACCTTTTGATATCTGAAGCATTTAACATTCAAGAATTTACAGAGAATGGTGTGAAAAGAAAAAAAAAAAAAGTCAAAGCAAACAGGTTGCAGATTCAAGAGCTCAGAGAAGACCCATGCAAATAGACAGGCACAGCCAAGCAAGTCACATCAGAATTCAGCATGTGTGTAGAAAGTTATATTAGAATGCACCGCTTAACTGACTATGTCTCAAATGGTCTGCAGCACCATAAGACCATGTTGGGTCCCAGTGTTGTCAGTTCCTGTAGGCATAGGTTTAACATTCAACTGTTGCCTTGTATGGAAAGAAAGACTAGTTGGTGATGGTGGACGCATCTTTGTGCTAATGTCTGTATTAAATTGTGCTATATAAATAAAACTCAATTGACTGAAAATATAAAAAGCCGAACACCTCAAAGAGAAGTTTTCTTGAACTGCTTTTAGACCTTTTTAAGATTAGACTGTTAAGGACTTCTTGCATTAAGCAAGAAGTCCTTAACTTTCTGTAGAGCAAAGACGGTAATCAATGTTTACAGTGTCGGTTGTGTTGTTACAGGGCCCATGTACCGTCTGGAGAAGCAGACAGAGCCAAATGTGGCAGTGGATCTGGACAGTACGCTGGAGAGCCAGAGCACACTAGAGTTCTGCCTTGTCCGTGAGAACAGTGAGTTTCAGCACAGCCCACTACAAAGATGACACTCATCTGAGAATAGATGCTGTGCTCATACTTTATATACTGTACAGACACAGACACAGAAACATTAACCTAGGAGTTCAGACAGTGGAATACACACAGCACACCTTTTTAAGCTATGGGAACAGTGAGCTTTGACAGTTATTTTTGTTCTTGCCCTCTATTTCTGTCCATGTTCCTCTTTCCCATATTCATCTGTTCCTTTCTTTCTTTCTCTCTTTGTCTTCCTCTTTCTTACTTTCTTTCTCATTATCTCTGTCACACTCTTCCCACCATAGGTTCCAGAGGAGAGGAGAGTTCAGAGGAGGACCCTCCTATAGACATCACTACAGTACAGGACATGTTGAGCAGTCATCACTACAAATCTTTTAAGATCAGCATGATCCACAAGCTCCGCTTCACCACCGATGTTCAGCTAGGTATGTTGTCCCATGAATAAGAGTCCTGCCCAGTACCGATGTAGTAATCAGCATTGATATTAACATTCTAGCGTTACATAATGATGTTATTTCTTGTCCCAACACAGATTCCTTAATATTTCTTGAACTTTTTTCAGGCAAGACCAAAGTAAATGCAAACGTTGTGCTGACATTTGTTACTATTGAGTCATTATAGTCAAATGTGATATTTGAATGAAATCATTATATGAAAAATATTCTTAAACTCTCCCACCACCCCCCACTACAAAAAAGTAAAGGACTGTAAGGCTACACTGGATTTTTTTCACTAGTAATGTGTGTGTCTAGTTGCAATGTATTTCACCTCATACCTCCTCAAAAGCAGCGTGAAGAGTTGGTTAGCAGATATCAAACCTGATAATTCACTACATAATATTGCAGTTTTTATCCTATTAAATTTATACACGTAGAGTGTAAAATTACCCTCTTTTTATGTTATTCTGCAACATTTCCAATGTGCTATAGCTGCTATAGCTGCATTTTGTATAGCCAGCTGCAGTAATCTTTCTGTGATTCCTTCTTCTGAATAAACAGATAAGAATTCTGACCAAAATGTAAAATGCAGGCTCTTTACTGCCCTCTGATGGAGCATAGAGTTATGAACATTTAATGTTAGAAAACATTTAATGTAAGAAAAGCTGATCTACTACTCAAAATTTGAGTTTTCTATTTAGTCTTTTTAAGGCTCTCATGACTAATTGTATATTCTGACTCCTCTCCAGAGTAAACTTAAGCTTGGTCTCCTTTTATGCAGCCATGCTTTTGTTTCTTTGTCTGTTTATATTGCTTTCTACTGCAGAATTTCACGAATACGGAATACACCACAGTGCTTTAACTTTAGTTTGCTTTGCACAGTGTTATAGGGATAGGGTGTTGCTATGTTTAGGACATATGAAATCTTGTTTTCCCCAAACTCTGGTCTGTTTTTGCTGCCATTTTCTTTTTTTTATATTTTTATTTATTTGTGTTTTTATTCAGATTTGATTCTTTTTACTGCAAGAAAGTGCATTTTGCATTTTTTGATTTGAAGTGCTGAAATGTTTTCTAACAGCAAGAAATGTGTCATAACAGAAATGTAAGAGTGAATGAATTCATTTACAACTCACTTTTTCCCTATTTGTACTTCTATTTACACTATTTCTTCAGCGTGCTTTAAATGATATGCTCTGTGAAAGTGAGTGTATGAGCTCATAATAACCTCATTCTGGACCCCATGACAGGATACTAACTTAATGTATTTTGTATTGCCTTTTGGTATCAGTTGCATTAAACACCCTTGTTACAAATAGTCTTTAAATTCTACCCCTGCCTGTCCTCTTTCAGGTATTTCAGGTGAGAAAGTGGAGATCGACCCTGTCACCAATCAGAAGACAAGCACTAAGTTTTGGATCCGACAAAAGCCCATCTCTATAGACTCAGATCTGCTATGCGCCTGTGACCTTGTGGAGGAGAAGAGTCCAAGTTAGTATTGCTGTTATCACAGTAATTTAAATACATATTGTATGTCCAAAAGTTTGTAGACACCTCCTCTTCCAACACTTCTTCTGAAATCAAGGGAAACATTAATAGAAAGTTCACCTGTTTTACACTAGATGTTAGAAACTTGCTGTGAGGGTTTGATTGCATTCAGCCACAAGAGCATTAGTATCAGGTCAGACACTGATGTTGGATGACATTCATCACTCCAGAGTGTGCATTTACAATGCTTAGACCAGTGCCAGATTAAACCAGCCGAGTTTTGTGCGTTAGGCCTGAAGATAAGACTTAGTCTGAAAATAATTAGACTTTGAAATTTGGTCCAAGACTAGGCTGAATATGTGAGCAAGAAACTGGTCTCTTGATATCCAGCTGTACCATGGCTGCAGTGACTTCAGCTCATACACGGCACTGTACCAAGGATTTTTTTATTTTAAAAGTTTTAGTAGGCTTATGGAGACTCAAATAATTTTGTCTTTTCTGCTTGTATTCCACATGCAGTCATTGTCTGTGTTCTCCTTTCAGGTCATGCAATATTTAAGCTCACATATCTCAGCAACCATGACTACAAGGCTCTTTACTTTGAATGTGATGCTGCTACAGTCAACGAGATCGTGCTAAAGGTGAAGTCTCCTCACCCAGTCATTTTCTGATAGTGTCTTTGCTGGGAAGACACACATGGGTTTTATTTTTTCTAGGAAGTAGGCACGTGTCAGAAAATTCAAATAGTCGTAATGTACTATTTTGCCTGATAACACCCTGCATGTAACTCTTTACCCTGAATGGAAAAAAATAATCATGTTTTAAGCTGCAGTCACACTAGAGTTTTGCTGTGTGCGTTGCCTTGTGAAATGGCTGTGACTGAGGGTGGCATGTTTGGTGGCAGTGGAGTGAATTGTGTTAGCCAAGGGCCTAACTCGCCTACCATATACAGTAAAAACACAAAAGTGACCATTATGTCAGATAACTTTATACTTGCCTCAGTATAGTGCTACACACTGTTTTGTAGCAAAACAGGTAGATAACTGCTGTGGCTGGCAGCAGTGGTGTGCAGCTGCTGTTAGCCAAGGAACTATCATCGGAGTTAGATAACTGGCTAACTTGTCTAGAACAAACAATAAAACCACAAACAGTGATACAAGGTTAAAACTTAGACCTTGGTTAAATTAGCATTTGCTTTAGTTTTTAAATTTCAGTGCTATGAAGTGCCACCCCTTCCGAGCTATTAGTAGAAGATGCAAATTTATCTGTCAAAGTTTACCATAATTGAACTAGTATTTGCACGTTTTTTCTGCAGGCAAATTCAAGTTTGACTGAGCTTTTAGGCCAAAATCTTCTCAAAACTATCATCAAACAACATCTCAAACATCAGACAGCGCAATCATCAATGTTTTGTGTAATATCTTTCTGTGAAGTAGCTTTTAGAGGCGTTAAATGCCTCAAACATCTGGTTCTTAGCCCCACCACTGTGAGCAATTCTAATTCTCTAGAGGGCTTTGACTGAATTTGTTTACATCTTAACGGTTTAATTATGTAGTAGTTCTTAAAAAGCTAAGAGTAATCCTCCTTTAGGAACTTTAAGATATCTGAGCTCTGTTCTGCACTAGAGGACAGTGTAGAGCCTGCAAATGTTTTTAATAGGTTTGAAATAATGCTTTAAATGTCAGATTTAATGTCAATTTCGACTGCGTTGCCCATCTATACTAGTAAGAGCCAGCTTGTCTTTTCCTACCCGTGATTTAGCTCTTGATCCTTAGGGTAGTGTGACGTGTCACTGCTGTTTCCCTTTATTTTATAGCAGCGTTTTCTTTGAATGTTTGGCTTCTTTTGAATTTACACTAATTTCTCCTTTCACAGGTGAACTACATCCTAGAGTCTCGTGCCAGCACCTCAAGAGCCGACTACTTTGCCCAGAAGCAACGTAAGCTAAGTCGGCGCACCAGCTTCAGCTTCCAGAAAGACAAAAAGTCAGGCCAGTAGGATGCACAGCCAAACCCCTGATTAGGAGTCTCTCTGAACCAAGTGTAGAGTCAGACAGTGTGAGGTGGATTCTGGATAGAAAGAGGTCCTGGTTAAAGACAGAAAAGGAACGAATAACATCAGGGAGAACCAGAGAGAGGTGAAGACAGAGAAGGATGACAGAACATGTTGGAGGTAAAATTAAGCAGGGCACAGTGAAAATGAAAGAAGAATGATGGAGGTAGTGCAAAGAAAGTAAGAGAGAAGAGATAGGGGCAGGCAGTGAGGGTGAGGGTGGGGGTGGGGGTTGCAGAGTCGTCTTGACTGTCTCAAAGGTGGAATCAGCTTCTGGGGGTCTGAATACTGGAGCACTGTCAGTCCTCAGCCATATCAGAGTGCTGTCAATCAAGAATGTACAAGAGGAAATTAAATAAATAAAACGGGACGAAACTGTTTGAAGCCACAGACCGAACACAAATTATCATCAGTCTCAGTTTCTGAAGCACAAGCTGCTGTTTGTGCAAGAGTCGATTTCAAAGACTTCTTTCGGTTTTTTAACATCATCTCCACTGCCTACAAATGAACTGTACATACGTACCAAATGACCGCAAGTGGACATAAGAAGCCACCAAGAGCAAGCAAGCAAGCAAACTTGTACCTGTTACCCATTGTATCAAACATAACGCGCTATACAGTGTTGGGACATGTAAAGGGAACATTCTTGCATTTTTTTTAACCTTTGAAATGAAAATAAGCAGCCACGTTCGGGTCACACCCTCTTTGGCCATTATACTTCAGTGCCTGGTACTGTTCAATTGGACAACTTTGCGTTCTTTTGAAGTGGACGATTTAAACAAATCAATTCAAGACACTTATGCTTGTAAGGTTGGGGAGGAACCTTGAACCACTCTTATTGTTTAAAGCAACACATTTGGCTGGTTTGTTACAGAATTTTTAATTATCAAACTAATTCAGTGATGACCTGTACTTTTTTACTGTGATGTGGGCTTTTCCTCTTCTGCATTGTATCTACAGACTGTAACCAAGCACTGTCTGTCAGGCTGATCAGAACATTTGTTCCGACTGTCCTTTTGGGCTGCATCTAGGGAATGTATGACCGTTTTTACAGCCTTTTTTCCTTTTGAGATAAAAAACAAACAAGTGATAACATTATATACTCTAGGTTCATTGCATTTGCGTCTTTGGATGGTTTTCTTTTCTTGCCCACTCCAGTTTGTTTTCTTTCAAACATGGGGGGAGGCAAACTCACATTATATAACCCAAAAGCTGCTGTTATAAACTGGATTCAGGGTGTTTGTTCAGATCCAAAACTCATGATTCAACTCAGGTTTCTGATTGCCATTTTGTGTTTACTGGTCTAGGCTTTTTCTCCTTTTTTCTGTCTGTTGGAAATGGAGAGAGAGAGAAAGCACTTGTGTTCTGTGCCGCTGTTGGCTCAAGTGAAAGAAAGTGTTCCCATGATGGGAAGTAGAGCTGCATAAAGACAATTCAAATGAAACTTTATTTATAAGGGGTAATGGTTTGATAATGAGCGGGGGGTATCATATGACCTATGAAATTAACAATATTTGCTACAGTATACGCAATGCTGTATTATATAAGTAGATTTTCTAATTAAAGATTGAACTAAAAGCATTTTCTTCCATGTTGTGGTATTCAATTTACTTTAATCAGTGTGTTCACTCTGCACCATCACCTGTAGCGATGGTCAACATACTGCATATGATTCTGGAGAAGAGAGTTGTTCAATCTGATCAGTACATACCCACCAAGCAGAATGTTCTTAAAGTAGAATAGAAATTCAAAATTGACCTTGTTTACCTCATTTCATATCTCGTCATTTTTTGACCTTCCAGCAAAGTTGCAAGCTTCTAAAATATCTACGTTTTGATTACATCACCATGCACCAGCAAGCATGGAAAAATTTCCACCAAGAGTATCATGTTTTGTCTCCGGCCCCGACCAGTCATTGAGAGAAAACACTCAGCTACCTCAGAGACCCTCCCTGATACCATGTTTCCTGTGCAAATGTGTCATGGTACAGAAGGAAAGTGTGTTATAGTTTCCTATGATTTCACAGTGACTTTCATATTTCCTATTTATTGCCTGGTTTACACAAAATTACACGCTTACTACAGGTGTTTTTGATAAGCCAAGATATGTTTGTTGTCCAAATTTCGCTTTTTTATTGGTCTTCATTAAAGGAGAATTCCACCAATTCTTCAAAATCTCTGCATAATTTTATCGTTGAGAGGTAAACAGAAACATTGAGTGGTGTGATGTGAAATGGTTCATTGCAGAGAAACTGACAAAATTTTAAATTCTTTACAATGGTGGTGAAATGAACCAGGGCTCACAATGACTAGTGAACCTACATGTGTTTTAATGTATTATCTTTATGTTTTCTTTTGGCACTGTTTTGCCCTGCGTGTACCTCTTTGCCTTAAATATAGGTTTCAGCCCAAAGCTATATCCAAACTATCGGAAAACAATGTTTCAGACATCAGGCTGCGTATTGAAAACCAACTGGGAGGTTGCTTTTCGAGGCAATAAACACTTTAGACAGCTGGTTCATATCACCAACACTCAACAATTCTGACTAAGTTTCTTTAAAACAGGGCATTTCATGTCAAACCCCTCTGAATGACAATGTAGTTTATAATTATGCAGAATTAAAAAAAAAATCTCAAGCGTCCATATGTCTCTGTGACGTGTGCAAAAGGGAGCTGGAGACGAATTGTTGGGGATGTATTCACAGAATAGATTTGGGTGACTTGACTTTGTTAGTGATGTTAGCCTTTCATAGCTCCAGTGTTAAACTAAACAAGCCAAATTTTGGCTCTAAACCTCAGCTGATCAAATACATGAGGGGTAAATGGAAAGTTGTATACATTTTAATTTTTAGCCAGACTACTCCTTTAACATCACAGCATTATTGCTGTACTAAAGTGGCTGTTCAATGCAAGTTACGTCCCAAATTTTACCCAAATCTCGCATTCCAAACAATAGTAACAATATCCACTTTTCTTTGATAGTAACAAGGAAAAGAGGACAGTTGCCATTTTTTGCATTTTCCAGTTTTATGTGACTTTGTAAATGCTTACAGGAACAGGACACCAGAGCCTGAGCCGCACGGTTCATGTAATAAGAATATTATGCTGAACAGCAGAAACAATCAGTGAGTTTAAATCAAAGAATAGTTTCGATTTGAAATCATCCAATCACAGCTGGACATTTCTGATTTATCACGTTACGTAACTTCAGATGAGAACTGCGCCGCCAGTCTGACACAGTGTGATTTAGTGAATGCATGCAAAGCTGATTTAAGGTATGCCTATTTTCAGGGGTGGAAAGAGTGCTGAAAATCCATATTTAAAAGTACAGTTGCTGTAGTGATAATCTAAGTTAACAAAAGAAAGTACTCAAGTAAGAGTAAATAAGCACTTTAGTGGGAAACTATTTAAGTAATGGATTTACTTTTTTAAACATCTGCAATCACAATCTGAAAATAATTCAGTTGACTTGGCTACATGATCAGAAATAATCTGTACAAAGAGACTGATCACAGTATGTGGGCACATTTACACATCTTTTTGGAATAGCCAGAACTTTCACAATAGGGTGGTCGGGTTATACCCAGTGAATTTGGGGCTGTATTTTGGTGGCAAGGGAAAAAAATCAAACTTCAGTACAATTACTGCTGAAAGTAAACCAAGAGACAAAACTGAGTTGATGTGTTTTATTCATTCATTCAAAAATTGTGTAATCACTTGAATTAAGTACATTAAATGCATCACTTTTGCTTTGTATTAATGTTAATATTTTAGGTCATAGACATTGGGCTGCCCTCACTACAGGTCACTCAGGAGTCTAGTAATAAAGCATCCAGCAGAGTATAAGGTAACGTTATAAGTGAAGAGTCTTTAGCTTATTCGAACAAATGCTGGATTCACCTCAGATGAATCTAGCCTGAACACACTGGTACTTACCTGTGAAAAAGGAATTATTTAACATGACAGATGATTATAGCTGAGTAATCGTGGACAGTTAACACTTATTACCTCAGTCTACTTGTAATGTGCTGTAGCTCACAGAGCAGCCCTGCTGTAGACAGTTTTTTTAAACACAGTGTGCAGTAGAAACGAAAGGACAAATGATTAATGTGGTCATAATTCTGTGTAGATTAATGAAATAATGTTATTGTCTGATTAACCACATTTTTAAATGTAGTTTTTACTCTGAAAGCAGGACATGATTTTGTACCAGTTTTTGCCAGGATTCTATAAAATACTCTTTCATTTCTTGTTTTGTTTTTACTGTTGAACATGACCTGTTATATTGGTTAAAGTTTGTGTGTGATCTGCACAGAGCACAACAAAGCAAAAAGTACTGGACCATACTGGTGTAGATGAAAACTGTTTCCTAGTGTAGGAAAAAAATATCAAACAATTTTTGCTGGCTCATTATGCAAACTGACCAAGACTAGCATTAAGGTTTTGACCAATGTTATCACTGGTTTGCTCAGCAGAGTCGTTTATTACAGTGAACTGTGCTGATTGAGTACAGAGTGATCAGACTCTTACAGCTCATTAGTAACTGCCTTGACAGTTTTCACTGTAAATGTAACTGTTTACACAGAGCAGATACTACAGCTTTTCTCTGGTGACTGCTTTATTGACAATGGCTGACCACCTCACTTTGCATAACTGGGTTGGCCAAGTTTTATACTATGGTGACACTAGCAACCCCTTGGCTTGGCCCCTGGAGTCAGCCTGCATTCTGTTATGAACTGACAAAACAGAAAGTCTCTGATCATGTATTGTGTGCGAGGTGAGATTGAGGGGTGAATGGTTGCTTCTCACATGACGAGATATCAGTTTTGTTTGTGTACAGCGTATGTGTGACAAAAGAACCTTAAGAAAAAAATCAGAATACCTGCTTATACCACCACTGGCAGTCTGCTCAGATTACACTTTAGTCCAGTAAGTCTAAGGGAATACGAAAACATAGCAAGTGACCACAATGTAGTTACATGTTCTTTTTTCCCATAATGGCTTTCAGAACCAAATGGTTTGAATGAAACCATGCTTTCCTCTGGTTTATGAGCTGAAATGCACAATTTTTCTACTCTGTGACAGTTATTAAAAATTAAAGTAGCAAAGTAAAATAATAAAGTAAAAAATAGAAATTATATGCTCAAAAAAATACCATTACTTGGAAAAAAATGTGCTCAAATACTGTAACAAGAGTAAATATAATTGGTCACTTCCCACGTAAGCCCACTTTTAGGAATAATCCTGAAAAGTATAGGATGCTTTAGTTTTATAAACATAATGAGATGTCACCAAAGACCACCAGATGGTGCCATAAATGTGTAAAAGCAATTTCCACATAAATCAATAGATGCATTCATCCAAATATTAAGTCCAACCAAATATAAAATCATGTTGCCCACAATGCAAGTCACCAGCAGGTGATTTAGTTTTTATACTGCCTTTTCACCAGTAGTACATTACAGTCATTTTATTGGACAATTCACAGTTACAATATTTTTTTATAGGCCAATCAAGAACTATATCAGAAGGATATTTCTGCTGATCTGGAATCAACACAATCAGCTTAACACCTTAGTTTAGTCTAAACGTGAAAAAGTGAATTCTGTGGACTGTAAACAGTGTGAGAGATAAGCGACCATCCACAAATTACATTGCCAACAGCAATCATCAGGGTCCAAGCATGGTGCACCCTATGGCGGCAGGATAGACTTTAAAGCAGATACAAAACAAATGATGGACAATTTTTAGTAGTAATACATGCTAATTTTGTCTTAGACTGCACCAGAATGAGTTTCATGTTACAATCACAAAATTGTTCTCCTGGAAACAATGCTGCCAGACCCATAGGATCGATTTCTGAACTTGTCACCTTCTTCATTGCCGAGGAGTTTTCATTAATAAAGCATACCATTTTTTTTTTTTTTGGCAAACCATTTTGCTAGTTATGATGCTTCAAGTGTAAGCAATGCTACAGAAAGGTTTGTGTGTTACTTTTTAATTGTTTATATGACACTTGATTTCAAACAGAAGCCTAACAGCTCCTCATTTACACATCATTAACATGAAGCCTGCCCTAATTCATGCAGATGTTTCAGTAGGGAGCCAATAAACAACAGCATTCAGGGGCTCATGAGCCAATGGCTGTGCTTGTAGTTGGTGTCTGAGGCTAAAGCAGTGACTGCCCTTCCTACTGACCAAACTTTTATTTATTTTATATTATAAGTTATTGTTAAAGCTGTTAAAATTGTGACAACTGGAAAGAGTAAAGTGTGAAATAAACAAAACAGTTATTTTTTAAGATGGTAGAATGATGTGATTATTTAGTGTGATTATTTTCCTAAAATAACATATTTAAATGCTGTATTATTGCAGTGTATGAGATGTTTTTAAATGGATTATAGAATAGTTTCAGGATTTGTTTAAACCAGTGTGCATTCCACTTTTGTACTGGATTGCCATGTGCACAGTTATTAGTATTATTGTCATATTTTTATTCTTATTATTGCTATTATAGATGATATTGATAGTTCTTGTTAGTTAACTGCAAATTACTCTTTTTTTTTTCCAGGTTGTTAAACT